CGGAGCGGTCGGCCGGGCCCAGCCCCGCCCCCGTCGATGCCCCACAGGTCTCCCAGCCCGCCGCGGGGGATGCCGCAGGCGCGCCGGAGCTAGCCGGCAGGGAGCCGAGCGACGGCCGTGGCCCCCCCTCCCCGCCCCTCCTTCCCGCCATGCACGGCGCCCCCTCCGGCCCCGAGGCCTGCAGACCGGCACAGCGGCCCGGCCAGGGGGGGCCCACGGCCGCGGCGGCCCCCGACACCCATGCGCAGGGCGGCGCAGCGGCGCTGCGCCCGCCACACCCGGGGCCCGCAGCCAGACAGGCGTTGAGGCTGGACCTGGAGCACTCAAATCCCCCCTTCTTTGCGCGACTGGCCGCGCTGGCTCCGAGCCTGGAGGGCAGCAGGGGTGAGGAGCCGGGGGCGGGGGGGGGGCGGATTACTGGGAAGGGGGGGGGACAGGCTGATCCGGCATGCATCGTGGCCAGGTCGGTTGACGGCCCAGGCTCCATTGCGGCGGCGGCGTGGGAACACGAATCAGCGTGAGTCTCCGCATGCGGCCCATCGCCAGCCCATAACACCTGTCTCTCAACCCCTGCACACCTACCTACCCCCCACCCCACCCCCCCTTCCTGCCCAGTCACGCCCATCAAGCTGAGCACGGCGCTTGGGGGCGGGCCGTCCCTGCTGTCCCCTCCCATGGGCCCCCTCCTGTCGCCGCTGGGCTGCTCCAGGGACGGCCAGCTGGAGAGCCCTCAGTTCCATGGCCTGGTGACCCCCGAGTGGGCTCGCCAAGGCCAGAGGGGGCCGGGCAGCACGGGGGAGGGCCGGCACAGAGGTGGGTGGGGGGTGGGGGGGGAAGTGGGGGGCATGGCTGGCCCAAGATCGGTCCATGATCATGCCGTGCAGCCAGGGCAGCGTAGCAGCGGCAGACGTGGTGCTGCGGCGAGGCCATCCTCTCTGTGCGGCCCCAGAGAACGTGCCGTCTGGCTGGCAGCTCCTACAGCACCCTGAAGGTGCTTCAACTCCACCCACTCCGCAGACGCCGACTTCGACACGCGGCGCGCTGCGGTGACGCGCCGCCTGCCCATGGACGAGCTGGCGCCGGACCCCGCCTCCCCGCGTGCCGCCGACCTGCAGGGCTTTGGCAGCTTCTCCATGGTCCTGGGGTCGCCGCCCAAGAAGGCTCGGATGGCCACGCCCGTCCGCGGCGGCGCACCCGCGCCCGTCGCGGACGCGGCGCACCTGCTGCAGCCGGAGAGCGTGGGCCGCACCGCCCTGGCCGCCTACCTCCAGGAAGGCCTCGGGCTGGCCTCGGGGGGGCGGGGCCGGCCAGGCAGCGCCGCGGCCGCGCCCTCCCCGGGCCCCCCGCCAAGTGGGCGGGGTCCGCGACGGCGGACATGAACAGCCGCAGCGTGCGCACCAGCCTGCACGCCCTGCTGGAGCAGGTGTGAGGATGAGGTGGGGACCCGCAGCTTCCCCAATTATTTACCGCAAAGCTTGCCGGCAGCGTGCAGTTTGCTCTCCATGTCCACACCCCTGCCCACACATCACCCCTTGTGTACGCTACCCCCTCCCCCCCCCCTCCCGCCCAATGTACTTGTGCTCCTCGGTATCACTGTAAGATTCTCCAGGGTCACTGTGGTGGTGTTGATTAACACCAGGTGGTGGGTTGATGGCACGGTACCCTGGCCTTACTACGCTCAAGCGCGCTCGCCACGGATGCGGCGGGCCAGCTGGATGTCCTTGGGCTGGATGGTCACGCGCTTGGCGTGGATGGCAGCCAGGTTGGTGTCCTCGAACAGACCGACCAGGTAGGCCTCGGCGGCCTCCTGCAGGGCCAGCACGGCGGAGGACTGGAAGCGCAGGTCGGTCTTGAAGTCCTGGGCGATCTCGCGGACCAGGCGCTGGAAGGGCAGCTTGCGGATCAGCAGCTCAGTGGACTTCTGGTACTTGCGGATCTCGCGCAGGGCGACGGTTCCGGGCCTGTAGCGGTGAGGCTTCTTCACTCCACCCGTCGCGGGGGCGGACTTGCGAGCGGCCTTGGTGGCCAGCTGCTTGCGCGGGGCCTTGCCACCGGTGGACTTACGGGCGGTCTGCTTGGTGCGAGCCATTGTTCTTGATGTGTTTTGATGTTGAAGGATTCTGTAGGCTGGGAGATTTTGTGGGAGTGCGGTCCTGTCGCGTGGATTTATGCTGGAGACAGGGCCTCACGAAACACTTCCCGCCACCGCCATTGTTACGGAGCACAAACCGATCCTGCGGTCCAAAACGGCAATACTGGCCCATCGGCACAGTGTGCAATTTGCGTCCTCGATACTCCATATAGCAGGCCCCGACCTTCGAGCTCAGCATCATTCTCACCATCTCAACACAGTCTCCCACCAGCAAATCAACCTTCTGCAAACATGTCTGGACGCGGCAAGGGCGGAAAGGGCCTGGGAAAGGGCGGTGCCAAGCGCCACAGGAAGGTGTTGCGCGATAACATCCAGGGCATCACCAAGCCGGCTATCCGTCGCCTGGCCCGCCGTGGCGGTGTCAAGCGCATCAGCGGCCTGATCTACGAGGAGACCCGCGGCGTGCTCAAGGTGTTCCTGGAGAACGTCGTGCGCGATGCCGTGACCTACACCGAGCACGCCCGCCGCAAGACCGTGACCGCCTTCGACGTGGTCTACGCCCTCAAGCGCCAGGGCCGCACCCTGTACGGCTTCGGCGCCTAGAGCCGCGGAGTGCCACCGGCTCCACGCCAAGCCCCACCTCACCACTGGTGTTATTCAACACCACCTTGCTCTGGAAAGAAGATCAGCCAGGGACGTGTCATTGGGCCGGACACCACAGAATGTCAGAATGCTCCACAGAAAATTGAAGAAAGGGGGGGGGGGGCATGATGCACGGGAGCGACAGAAAACTGGGGGGGAGTGCATGCCTCAGGCAACGTGTGTGCATGTCAGGTCTGGTTGTTCGTCGGACTACTTGCTCTCTTCTGATCCGCAGAATGGGGTGGTTTGGCACCAGGGATGGCGGTGTCGAGTGGGATGTTGACTGGCAGGCCATGCTGCCACATGAGGGGGAATTCCAGCCGCCCAGGGCTTCACAGCCAGTGGTCAGCGGGCCATCGACGGCTTGGGGAGGAGGGCCTGCGAGGGAGGGAGGGGGAGGGTTGAAATGAGATGGCAAGCTCCATGCGATGCTGGACCACAGCGCACCCCCCTTTGCCGACTCACGTCCACCAGCAGCTGCAGCTCCGCCGAGCTGAAGGTCGGGTTCAGGTACACCCCCGGCTCCTGCCCCGCACTGGCGTTGGGGTATGCGCCGGCCTGGCCCGGTCCCCCGCGCAGCCGCTGCGCCAGCTCTGCAGTGGGGTGGCAGAGGGTGCGCGTCGAGGGCAGAGGGGGGTGGAGAGCAGAGCGGTGCATGTCGAGGGCGGGGGGAACTGGAGGCACGCGCGTGGAGCCCAGGCCCCGCATGCACGCGCCACAGCGCGGGGCCCCAGGTACATGCCGCCGCCCACGTCCCAAAGCATGAACATCGCTGCCCACAACAACATCCCCCGGGCCCTTGCTACTCACGCTGGCCTGCGGGCCCGTGGAAGAAGTCGAAGCTGGCCGCGGGCGTGAGCTCCGGCGTGGCGCCCAGGGCGCCTCCGCCGCCGCGCCGCCAGCTGCTCCTTGTGCGCAGCAGCGGGTCGGCGCGCGGGGAGCGCGCAGGGTCGGGCTGCGCGGCGCCGGCGGCGCCCCAGCCGCGGCCGGAGGCCGGCCCCGGGCCGGCCCCCACGCCGGCGTTCAGGCTGATGGCGCCCTCATTGGCTGGCCGTTGGCGCCCGCCTCGCCGGCCCCGCCCACCGGGGTCGAGGTCGAGGCTGAGCAGGCGGCCCACGTCCCAGGACCCGCGCGCTTCCAGCCCGCGGCTCATCAGCCGACGCAGCAGCGAGCGGTGCTCCTCCGTGAGCGCGGTGGGGGAGTCGCCGCCGCCGCGCGCCGCGCCCGGCGCGGCCTCGCGTGACAGCGAGCGCGTCATGCGCCGGCCCTCGGGCAGGGGCGCCTCGGGCCCCGTCCCCGGCGCGGGGCCCAGCGTGTTGCTCAGCCAGGAGACGATGTCGGCCACGCCGCTGGCGTCCGGCGGGGTGGGCTCCAGGCCGCCGCCCTCCACCAGCTGGCGCCAGGACGTGCGCGCGGCGAGCTGGAGGAGAGGAGGAGAGGATGTTGGAGGGGGTGGAGAGTGGGTTTGCAGGGTTTTGTTGGGAGGGGGGAGGAGGACAGGGCATCGCGCAGCGGCGCCATCCGCCAGTCAAACCACTGGCGGACGGCCGGGTCCACGAAGCGAGCGAGCCCTCGCGCTGCGGTTGTCTGGGCGGAGCCCCATGCGTGCTCCAGACTCCACACGCACCGGCAGAGGCGGGGAGGTCCGACCACCCCCCACCCCCCCGGGTCCCAACCCTTGCGCCTCACCGGGTCGGAGGCCAGTTCCGGCAGCTTGTAGTGCGCGGGCGGGGGCGGCAGCGCCCCCTGCTCCGGGTCCAGCATCTCGATGTGGATGGGCGCAGCCATGGCATTCACCTGCTGCGCCAGCTGCACCTCCCACGGCGTCAGCAGCTCGCGGCTCACGCGGATGGCCAGCGGCGCGGGCGGCCCCTGGCCGTGCCCCGGCGCCACGTTGGCGGTGCCCATGCCGTGGGGCCCCAGCACCGCGCCGTGCGGCACCGCCATGCTCGGCGCCAGGCTGTTCTGCTCAAAGGGGGAGGGCAGCACCGCACCGCCACGAACCCCCGCCACGGGGTACCTGCGAGTGGGAGGGAGGGGGGTGGGGGGGCGTTGGTTCGAGTGGCAACCAGCCAGTTCCATTCAGGCGCGTGGTGCCTAGGCAGCCGATTCCCGCTTAATATCCACCCCCACAGCCCCCGGGGAGGGAGGGCCAGGCGCCCGAGGAGGGACGCACAGGAGGAACCTGTCAGGCTGGTCGCCGCATGACTCCAGGGTGCCTGATGCCTGCACAGAGTGCGCCCCCCCCCCCCACACACAAAAAGGAGGAAAGAACAAGGAAGCAGCACCACCCCCTAGCGCCACGCCGCACCCCTGCTGTTGCTGATGGTGGTGGGGATTGAGCTGATGCCCCGCGGCCTGGCCTGGCGGCCCACGCCGCGCCCGCTTCGGGTCGGTGCTTGGCGAGCCCATCTCGGTCAGGCGCGGGTGCTTGCGGACCAGCGCGTGCCAGCGGTTCTTCACCGCGTTGTCGGTGCGGTCGCCGAAGATGCGGGAGATCTCGGTCCAGCGGTTGCCCAGCTCCGCGTGCGCCGCCATGAGCTGCGCATCCTCGTCCGTAGACCAGCTGCAGGTCTTGGCGTTGATGCTCAGGAAATTCTTCCAGCGGCGCCGGCACTGGACGTGGGGCAGACAAGTGGGGGGGGAGGGGCTTGCTGAGGGGGCAAGGACGGGCTGGGAAAGGGGCTTGGGGCGATGGGGAGGGCTGGGAAGGAGGGCCGGCAATGCCGGGGAGGAGGTTGCAGATGGGGACAGGAGGGTCTGTGCCTCGAGCTGTGCAGATGTACTTCCAGAGCATGCAAGCGGAAGGAAGGGCCGCATACGCACTGGACTGAGCTCTGCAGCAGTCCCCAATACATCACCTCCCCACCTGCTTGCTGGACTTGCTGCGGAGCTTGGAGGAGATGAGCGCCCACTTCTTGGAGCCGTGGGCGTCGACGAGGTGCTGCAGCTCCTCATCCTCCTGATTGGGGGGAGAGGAGCAAGCTGAGCACACCCCGGCCTCACTCAGCGAGGCAGGTGCAGGGTGCTACTCCACCCCCCCAAACACTCAGGGCATAGGACCTCACCTCTGGCGTCCAGATGAGGGCGGTGGGCATCGCCACAGACGGTGCTGGGATGGTGCTGCAGTGGTGGCCGGAAGGGAATGGTCCCCAGAGTACCTCTCTACCTGTGGGGACCGTGCACCGACCCAGCGCCTTGAATTATAAGAAAATTGCATGGCTGCAAAGTATGAGCTGCATGGCATGGCCATGGGCCGGAGGGTGGCCGGGCTGGCGAGGAATAGGGAAAGAGTCCAGCGCTCTCACCTCAAGCAGGGAAGTCCAGACGACGCATGCGGGTATCAACAGCTCCCAAATTGCTGTATATATAGAGGAACTTGAAGCAAGCCACTGCTGGCTTGAGAGCCCTCCTACGAGAGGTACCAACGACAAGGGCCGGCGAACTCCAGGCACAGCGTCGCCGGGGCTCTCAAGGAATTTGCACTGCACAGAAATGAGACACAATCCTCCTCGAGCCGTTCGACAAGCCGGTGCGACCAGTATGACGGCTGCTCGGAGCTGCTGGCACGGGTTTGCCCCGATGGCCGTCCCGCGACCCAGCGAGGGTGGGACACACTGACATGGATTGGAAAGTCGGAAATCTCCTTTTAACATGCTCGCGACAGGGGACAGGAATGGATGCGAGGGATCCAGCCTGCTACATGCTAAGCAAGGAAGCCGACTCAAATGAGTCGTTTATCAAGGCACACGCCACTCTGAATCAGTCTGCGCTGCTAGATGGTCGACTCCGAAGTGATCGCCTCCTTTTGCGGGGTCACCGGCGCAGACAGCGATGTGGCCATTCAGATGCTGGAAGCAACCAATGGAGATCTAGAATCTGCCATCAATTTCTACTTTGCTGCCGAGGGCGCTGCAGGCGGTCCAGATCGCGATGACGACGAGGCCCTTGCTCGCAGGCTCCAACAGTGAGTCATGCCTGAGGGCGACCATCGACCAGAATACCATGCACCGTGCCTTGGAGGCGAGCATCTGAATCCAAATCCAATGTGCAGGGAAGCGAACGAGCCGCTAGAAGATGCTGTGCGGGCTCCCATGCCCGTCGTCAATCAGAGGCTTGTGGGGGATCTCCTGCCGGGGCCCATTCAGACTCGACGCAGGTAGGAGGAGCAAGGGCCCTCGGAGGCTGACTCAAATCATGAAGTGCTCCCTCCAGCAGCGCTCAGTGTTGTGACGACAGTGTGCATGCCGCACAGGCCATGGTCCATCCAAGGGTGGACCTCCGCTGGCGCTGATGCAGTTGCTCCTCTCCAACTTGTCGTGCAGGGCTGTTCCGATTCCCCAATCGGTTGCCAACACATTCAGGGAATCCATGTGAGTGTTGGGCACGTGCTGGTTTGTGGTTGCGATGCGTGCCTCACCACAACCCCGCTGGCGATAGCCAGGCTGCATGACACATTGATAGTGGCCTGACTGCCGAGGGTGCGCTGAGATGCTCAACACCCGCTGCCTGCCGACAGGGACGCATCTGAGCAGCCCTCCAGCGGGGGACTGGCGGCGAGCTTTGAGCCTCCCCGCGAGCTGCTCTTCCACGGCTCATTTGAAGATGCCAAGGAGTCTGCTGCCTCCAAGGAGCAGTGGCTGGTGAGACTGATGGGAGCTTGCCAGTGGTATCCTGAAGTGCAACAGCTGCCGCCCACCTTGTTGATGGCGCCCATGCGGGCTTCCCCTCTGCGCGATGTCCTTGCACGTCTTCATGCGCACTCCACATGGTCCAATGCCCCTCCCACTCATCCCTCGCACACCCCTCTCCCTTCCCCCAACCAGTTGCTGAACCTCCAGGCGGCCGACCAGTTTGCTTCCCACCAGCTCAACCGCGACACATGGCGGGACCCCATGATTTCCGGGCTCGTGTCACAGAACTTTGTGCTTTTCCAGGTAGGGCTGCGGGGCGGGCAGGGCATGACACCTGGGTGCTGCTGCAACCCCTAGCGTGCCGCCCTTTCCTCCTTGGGAGAGCCTGCAGCCTGGGCACACAGGTCACTGGTGCCCTGGGCATGCAGGTCAGGCACCAATGCCCCCGCTGTGTCCCCGGCCTTCTGTGCCCAGCAACGATGCTGTTTCCTCCCCTCCCCCCCCTCCCCCAATGCACCATGCCAGGTTTACCAGGGGGTGGAGGAGGCGGAGGTGCTGTGCGGGGTCTATCGCGTCTCCAAGCTGCCCTGCATCCTCGCCATCGACCCGGCCACGGGGGCGCTCATGCGGCAGTGGGCGGGGTTCCTGCCGCCAGACAGGTGCGTGCGAGGAGGTCCTGGGCGGCTGGCGGCCGCCAGGTGCTCAAAGGGACTGCCAGACAGAGTGTCGCTGCTGGGCCTCCGTTCCACTTGACAAGTTCCGGCTGGGACTGCGGGACCTGACAGCAGTGATGCCACGCTCTCTATCCCACCATCCCATTTGCTTGCCCCGCCAGGCTGGCAGAGGAGCTGATGCCCTTCCTCGAGCACACGTTCCTTGACCCCGGGGCGAGCGCCCTGGCCGCAAACCGGCGGCGCCGCGCTGCGCCGAGCGCGCCAGCTGGGAGCCTTCCGCGTGCCGGAGCGGCGAGCGAGGACGCTGAGCTGGCCGCGGCCATCGCCGCGAGCCTGGAGCCAAAGGCGGAGTCGGGTCTCACGAGCGCAGGCCGTGCGGCCGGCGCGGCCCCAGCGCAACCTTCCGGCTCTGACGCACCCCCTGCTGCAGCGGCGAGGGGGGAGGCAGCCGCGGGTCCAATACCAGCGGCGGCGGTGGCGGCGGAAGCCGCCGCGCGTCTGCCTGTGGAGACCTCTGGCCCGGGCAGCTGTAGAGTAGGTGAGGCTTGGCTTCACAGCGTCCAGAGCGGGAAGAGGGTTGAAGTCATGGGGCGCCCAGCTGAAGTGAGAGGGGCTCTCGCATCCCGTCTCACCCTCATGAAGCCCTCCACCCACCCACCCACAGCCGTTCGCTGCCCAGACGGGTCGCGGCTGCAGCGGAGGTTCGAGCAGACCGCACCCCTCGAGACCCTGCGGGACCTCTGCATCGCCTCCTGCCCCGAGGCGGCGGCTGGGCGTCCCTTCTTCCTCGCCCCCTCCTTTCCAGGCACGCTTCGGTTGCCAGGGGGTGGGCCTGGAAGTCCCTCAGCTGGTCAATTGACGCAACCATGCGGGGGACCCTGCGCAGCTCAATTCATGCTAGGAAGGCTGTGGATGGCACATGGGACTGTGGTCCGATGGTGGGTAGCTTACAGTCTCTCAGGCCTATCCAACACCCTTTCCACCCTGCTCACAGGCGCCCAGCCGCTGCTCGACATGGCTGCTGACCTGACGACCTCTGGCGCAGCCGACTCCATGCTGGTCATGAAGTGGGCGGAGTGACCCTGTGCCGAGTGCAGGAGCGGCAGCCAGTCCCTTGTTCTTTGGCACCATTTTCACAGCCTTCTTGCGGACAGCAATGTTTACCTGTCATGTTACACTACAAGAGTCAGGCGGCCACCCGAACGGGCGGGAGTCAGGGCAGAGAGCAATAGACTTTGCAGTCAGTAGAAAGGAAGGGGGTGCGCATGTGTCAGCACGGCCCCGTGTCAGTTGGGGGTGGGTGTCGTGTGTGGCAGTGCATGGAGCCGGGTGGTGCAAATGGGAGGGGGGGCCTGGGTCATCCAGGCGTCGATGATCGCTTCACTTCTTGGATGCCGTCTTCTTCGGCGCAGCCTGAAGTGGGGAATGAGGCAGGCGTGGTGAGATGAGTGTCTGCAGAAAGCAATCAAGCCTGGGTGCCAGTTAATCAAGCAGAAAGCTTCTGCAAAGTTTGTCCAAAGCATCCGATTGTGACATACCTTCTTGGTGGGTGCCTTCTTCACCGCCGTGGCCTGTAGATTGGCAGGGCGTTTGAGCTAATGAGTTTAGGCTATGCTCTGATTAGCAAGACGCATGGGTCTACCACAACGACTGTTCTCTATTGCCCACCTTCTTCGCTGCCGCGGGCTTGGCGGTCTTGGGCTTGGCGGCGGTCTTCGCCTTGGGCGTGGCCTTGGGCTTGGCAGCGGCCTTAGGCTTGGCTGCCGTCTTGGGCTTGGTGGCCGCCTTGGGCTTGGCCGCCGTCTTGGGCTTGGACGCCGTCTTGGGCTTGGTAGTGGCCGTCTTAGGCTTGGCGGCTGCCTTGGGCTTAGCGGCTGTCGTCTTGGGCTTGGCAGTTGTGGCCTTGGGCTTGGCAGCTGTCTTGGGCTTGGTCGTGGTGGCCTTGGGCTTGGCAGCAACCTTCTTGGGCTTAGCAGCGGCCTTCTTGGGCTTGGTGGTCTGTGTGAGCAGTGGCGAACCAGCAGTTTCAGGCGGCATCCCGTTCTCGAGATTATGGTTGTCTGCTGGCTGTCGTTGACTGAGGTCCCCATCTCAGTACGTTCAAAAAATGGTCCGAGCCGAGGCATCACGGCATGTCAGTACCCACCCTCACCTTGGTCGCGGGGGCTGCCTTCTTCACGGGCTTCTTCGCGGGCTTCTTCAGAGCATCGGACAGCTTGAAGGAGGACTTCACCCTCACCAGCTTGCCCGCGCCCGCCTGCTTCTTCAGCTGCTGAGCCAGCACCTTCTCCCAGCCGGTAGGAAGCTTGTGCTTAGAGCCAATGAACTTCTTAATTGCCGGGTAGCTGCTTCCCGTGCGCTCCTTCAGGCCGGAGATGGCCTCGCTGATCAGCGACAGGTACGGCGGATGCGCGGGTGCGGATTTCGGAGCCATTGCGTCGGGCGATCTGGGACGTGGGGAAACCGAAATTTGGATGCAATGAACTCGTGGAAGTATGTTGTGCACTCTTCGGTGCACGGAGTACCATTTGGGGCGAGCCTGTGCGACAGCCCACGCCCGATGTTACCCAACGACCGTTGGGCCGACGCTGGGGAGGAAAGAAGGACAGCGAAATCTCAACACAAAACACAAGATCCAGGTCTCATGCGGGATGCACGTCGCCTGATTCTCCATCACACCAATACATATGATCCCATCGTGTCACCTGAAACCGAGAAGGGCCGCAAGCCTTGCTAATTGGTGGACTGAGGGGCATGCGACGGGTCCGCCGGAAAACACATGGATCGGTGTGCGGGATGACCGCCGTTGTGCTCAGGCATCTCGCTGCATGCAGCGAGCGGCCTGCTCGAAGCGAGACATCCAGAATTGAAATTTGCGAGCCTGAGAATTTCTAGAACACTGTACAAGCACGATCACTCTCTTCCAGGGTTGTATTGTTGACGAGGCTGGCTAGGGGTGTGGCGCTCACTGAAACACTACAGGAGTAGTGCCCACACGTGAGATCATCCTCACCACATTTTCGATCCATCAAGGAGACAAATGATGGGAGCCCATGTAGGGGGCATTGCGAGAGCATGCCATGGGCTCCCACCCACGTTGATGCTATTGGGACTGCAGCACACACGCTAAGTTAGAAGGTGTCACAGCCGCGTTGGACTTTGACGTTACTCAATATGGTACAAATTATGCCCTGAAGATTCTAGGAGTATGTCCATATACTTTTCCGTTGTCAATTCTCTGAATGAGTGACTTGACGGCGGAACATATTGCAGGCCCAATCATCAAACTAGTTTCACTCACAGACTCAGAGCGAGCTTGTCCGATTGTGAGACTATGGCGTGAGTTCTGCGGACGATTGTCAACAAAAGAGTAGACTTCTCATATTTATACACACACGCAATCCTGGCTGCACCTGCCCCTCTAGGGGACCCCCCTCCTTCGACTCCGGCGAGGCATGTCGAGGTCGAGGCAGCTTCGCCTGGGCACGGCGCGCCTGGCACCCCTCATGACCCGGCAACTCGCTTTCTTTCCCACATGTTTTGATATCCGAAATCGTCAGCTGCATCAGAGGCCCCACGACACCTCCTGCACCCTCTGCCGTCCCCTTCCCCTCTGCAAACGCGTCAACTCCGACATGGTTGCCAAGACTACCACAACCACCAAGGTGCGCTCGGGAAAGTGTCGAATCTTGCATACCCATCATTAAATGCCGCTCCACGGTCGGCCTCGGACCACGACGTCCCCGCATGCTCTGCGCACCTGTGTCGGAGCCTGGCTCCCTCGCCATTCTGGGCACGCCCGAGGGCTTTGGACACAACATGTGTTGGAGTGTCTCGAACGCCGCATAAACCCTCACCTGGCCTCCATGCCCACCTGTAATACGCGCAGCGCGGTGCCGGAGTGAAGCCCAAGGCGGTGCGTTCCGGCAGGGGGGAAAGGGGGCCACCCCGTTAACAACCAGCTGTCGGACCCCATACCCGCCCTGTCGACCTTGAATCTTCCTCTTGCAGGCTCCCAAGAAGGCCGCTGTCAAGGGCGAACTCCAGAAGGCAAAGGCCACCGTGAAGTCTGCGGTGAGGCCGCTTGGGAGGGACCCTGCGTCAACCAGTGTGATACTTTGTGGGGTGGGAATGAAAGTGGTGGCCGCTGCAGAAGTACTGGTGCCGAGTCCTCCCGTGTCGCGCCCTGACATGTGCAGGTCACCAAGGCGAAGACGGCTCTCACTCCCAAGAAGACAACTGCCAAGAAGACCACGGCCCCTAAGGTATCCTGGGTGTGAGACTGCCTCCTGCATCCCCTGTGGGAGCATGCCCTTTCCTCCAGAGCTGGCCGAGTCACTGTCTACCCCCACCAGCCAAGAAAAGCACCATCCTCCCATCCACCCTGCAGAAGACGACGCCGCTGACCGCCAAGGTGAAAGCCGCGCTCCCAGCTAAGAAGGTGCGGGGGCCATAAAGAGTTGGTTTCTTCCTGGGCACTACCTGTGAATGAGGGTCTGGGAAAAACTACAGCGACTTTGATCTGCATCTGGAACGCAATCACTGGCTCTACCATGCCATGTTTTCCGATGCTGTGCTCGTTCCACGCACCGACCTCGCTCCCACTTCCTCCATCTGGCAGAATGTGAGGAAGGTTTGAGCCCAAGGCAAGCCCGGCCCACCTCTGGCATCCACCCGGCCCCTGTTCCCCTGTGCCTGCCATCCGCATGTCTGACACCCTGACCCTGGCCAATCGACCCTGACTCTGTGCGACCTGACCATACACCATGTGTACACCCCCGCTGTAACATGCCTCCTGACGATCTGGAGCCTGCAGTGTTTTAAAGGGTCGAAATTGAAGGCAGGCAAAGATGCAGCGTCTGGCAACTGCGACCCCTGCTGAGCTGGGCGCATGGGAAGGAGGGCTCGACCGAAGTGACTGCTCAGCCGCTGCCGCCCGACACGAGAAAGCGGGTAAAAGACGCGCCACGCCGCTTCCCAGGACAATGGAAAGGAGGGAGTGCGCTCACGCCGTGGCCTCCGCAGGCGCCGCCTCCACGAGCGCCAGCTGGTGCCCGTCGTCCACCTGTGCGCCCACATGCGCCGCCAGCTCGGCGACGTTGCCGGAGAAGGGCGCGCACACGGCGTGCTCCATCTTCATGGCCTCCACCGCCACCAGGGGCTGGCCCTCCTCCACCCAGTCGCCCACGCTGACGAATACCTTGAGACAGGGTTGAAGGGGGCAAAGGTGGCTGTGCTTTGACCGTGCAGGTACGAGGCGATTCTGGCCGGTGAGAGAGTCTGAGGAGGCTTTACACCAGAGCGTACGGCAGGCACTGCCCGCTGGCTACCCCAGCGTCGTGCCACCCCTGCTCCATCGTCCGATGGCCGGAGCACCACAGCCCAGCCCCTCCGCAAACAGAAAATACCACCCCGCGCACGCACCTTCACGACCTTGCCCGGCATGGGCGAGCGGATCCTGCCCGCCGCCGCGCCGGCGGAGGCCGCGCCGGTGCGCTCCCAGCGCCGGACCACGGTGCGCCGGAACTGGGAGGCCCGGCCGCCCACCCACAGGTCCAGCACCTCCTCCTCGCCGCAGACGTGCATTACATAATCGCCGCGCACTCGCCGCCCCGCCAGCTCGGCGCTGACACGGTCGGCCGTCACCTCCACGTGCCGCGCCTGCAATGAAGATGGCGGGTGGGAGGGGCGACAGGTGCTGGGATATAGCATTCCAAGGTACGAAGAAGGCGGCACGATGTGCCTGAGTCCAGTGGAAGGCTTACTCTCAGATGCCGCCCCGCCGTCCAACCCCCTGACCCTGCCCGCCCCAACTCCTCCCTCGCCTCACCTCCACGCGGGCCTCGGCGCCCAGACCGGACCCCTCCGCGAGGGCGGCCCCCTCCAGGGTCACGCCGCCGCCGGCCCCCACCAGGTCCAGCTCCAGGCCGCCGGTGGCGGGGGCGTGGCCGAAGCCCACGCTCGCGCGCGCCGGGTGGTTGACGCGGAAGGCGCTGGGCTGGCGCCAGGGCTCGGGGCAGGGGACCTTGGTGGAGGCCGAGGGCTCGCCGGACGCATGCGGCGCCGCGTAGATCAGGGCCGCCAGACAAAGCTCGTCGGTGCCCGGGGCGACCCTCTCCAGCAGGCTGTCCTCATGCTCGGCGATGAAGGAGGTGTCGACGCCACCCTGGAGAGCAAGAGGGGCAGGGATGTGAGCGTGTGTGGGTTGGAATTCGAAGGTTCTGATTTTCTCTGGATCATAGGGCGCATTACCCTGCAGGTGCATTCCGTGGCGCGGAAACAACCAGGTGCGGTCCTTGGTCACGCGTGCTTCCCTTGCCAGGCTCGGAGCAGGCTCCAGGCCTGGAAGCAGGCCCAGAGGCCTGGAGCCCGCTCCTAGGCCTGCCCCATTCCTAGCATGAGCTGAACAACCCCTGCAAGACACAAACAACCATCACCAGCCGCACGACCCCCACCCCCAACCCCCCCCCGGGCGCTTGGACCCACAAACACACACCGTCTCGGAAATCTGGGTCCTCGCGTCACGCGGCGCATGAACTCGATGTTGGTGGGCAGGCCCGCCACCTGCGTCTCGCCCAGGGCTGCGTGCAGCGTGCGCAGCGCCGCCTCGCGCGTCGGGCCGTGCACGATGAGCTTGGCGATCATGGGGTCGTAGTGGACGCCCACCTGCAGGGGAGGAGGGTTGGGTTGCGAGGGAGTGGGGCCGGGGGAGGAGGAGGGAGAGCCTTCTGCAACACAGGCCCAGGGCCGGTCACGAGCATCCTTGCCCGCCATGCCTGGCCCGCCTGAGTTCTGGGCCTGTGACTCCCCACCGCTGACTCACCGGGCTCTACATCCGCTGGCCAACCTCCTCCCCCTGGACACCGCGCCCCGCAGATCCCCTGGCCCCCTCCCCTCCCAGATCTCCTCCCCACCCCACCCCCACACACCTGGTCCCCCTGGTTGATGCCGCTGTCGACGCGCACCGCGCCCGGCCCGAACTCGGCGGCGCCGGGCGGGGGCCGCCACCGCAGCAGCCGCCCCCCCGCCGGCAAAAAGTTGTTGGCCGGGTTCTCGGCGTAGATCCGCGCCTCAAAGGCGTGGCCCCCGATGCGCAGCTGGTCCTGGGTCAGGGGCAGGCGCTCCCCCGCGGCCACGCGCAGCTGCCACTCCACCAGGTCCACGCCGGAGATGGCCTCGCTGACAGGGTGTTCCACCTGCAGCCGCGTGTTCATCTCCATGAAGAAGTATTCTCCAGTGGCAGTGTCCATGATGAACTCCACGGTGCCCGCGTTGCGGTACCCGACTGCCAGGTGGGGGGGGGGGGGGGAGGGAAGGGCGGGGAATGTTACGGAGTCGGGGGGAGAAGGGGAAACGTTGGAATGGTCCCTGTGCCAGCAAGCAGGGTATATTACCAGGATGGCGGGCCGGACTCTCGCGTCAACCCCAGGTTCCCCCCCCCAATGGCACAGAAAGACCTTGTGCCCCGGCCGCACCTGCCGTCGCAGCCGCCGTGGCCGACTCGCCGATGGATCGCCGGAAGGATTCGCTGATGCCCGGGGCAGGGGCCTCCTCGATCACCTGGAGTGGAGGGAAAGGTGAGGGTTTATGTGGTCATGTGTGGTTTTGTGTGTGAGCTGGCGGAGGGGCTCACACCCGTCCACTCATGACTCAGAGAGCCTGTACCTCGGGCTCTTCCCTTGCCTCCTCATCCCCCCGTGATTCCCAACTGCCCCCTTTCCCTTCCTCCTCAAAGGCACCTTTTGGTGGCGCCGCTGCACGGAGCAGTCGCGCTCGAAGAGGTACACGGCGGCGCCGTGCGCGTCAGCCATCACCTGCACCTCCACGTGCCGCGGCCGCTGCACATACCGCTCCAGCAGCACTCGGTCGTCGCCGAAGCCCGCCAGCGCCTCGCGCCGCGCGGAGTTGAGCGCGTCCTGGAGGGTGGTCGGATGTGTGGTTTGAGGGGGGGGGAGGGGGGGCGCCACGCAGCAGCACCCGGCAATGAGCACGCAGTGCTCAGTGTGGTCGGCATGGGACCACGAGACGCAGCTGGACGAGCGCTTCTCAGCAACCTGCATTTGCCGTGCCAGCCATGCAAATACAGCAGCCCTGGCGCGCCGTTGCACACCCCTCCTGAACCAGCATAACACCCCTTCGGCCCAAGCACAGCCTCGTCACTCCCCATGCAAGCCACCCCCGGACCCACGGCCTCACCATGAACTCGGCACGGGAGGCAGCGAGCTTCATGCCCTTCCCCCCGCCCCCAAGCACCGCCTTGACCAGGACGGGGTAGCCTATTCGGTCCGCCTCGGCCTGCAGCCGCTCGTCGGCCTGGTCCGCGCCGTGGTACCCGGGCACCACGGGCACACCTGCCGCCGACATCAGCGCCTTGGCCTCGCTCTTGTTGCCCATGGAGCGGATGGCGGAGGCGGGGGGCCCCACAAACGCGACCCCGGCGCCCTCCAGCGCCGCGGCAAAATCGGTGTTCTCCGACAGGAAGCCGTAGCCGGGGTGGACCGCGGTGGTGCCGGTCAGCTGGGCCACCTGGGATGGGACGGAGGGGGTGCGGGGGAGCGGGTGGCGGGCAGTCCAGGTGCCGATCCGGGGAATGGGCTGGCGGGGCATGCACCCCAGCCTTGAATGATTCAGGGACCCAGCTCAAGGCCTCTGCCTCCAGGCGGCAGTGTGAAGATGATTCATGTAAGCACCTCCAAAGCCCCTCTAAGGTAGAGGACCCCAGAGGATAACAAGCAAGCCATGACGAAACCCACCTCCAGGATGCGGTCGGTGCGGAGGTAGCTGTCACGGGCGGGGGCGGGCCCGATGCAGAAGGCCTCGTCGGCCAGGGAGACATGCTTGGCCGCCCGATCTGCCTCGCTGTACACCGCAACGCTCGGAATGCCTGAGAGGGGGATGCGGGAGGGTGCCATATCGTGGCTGCACGTGCATCATGGTGACACAATGGACTCCTCCTGTCCCTGCTCGCATGTCTCACGCACCAAGCTTCCTTGCAGAGGTGAGGACTCTGCATGCAATCTCCCCGCGATTGGCCACCAGCAGCTTCGAGATGGCGGGGGGCTGTGTCGGCAGCGGCCCGCTGGTGAGGTTCCTGGCCAGGTGCCGCGTCAAGCTCGCCAGGAGTGTGCGTCGTTTGCTCCTCCCATGGAGTATCAGAGCATTCATGGTACTTATGGGTGTGTTTCAGATATGCAGGGCGGCAGGAGGGGGTCAGATCTGTCGAGTTGAGGTGTCGGAGGCGAGGGGGGCCGCGGGGAGGAAGAGTGGTTCGCAGAGGCGAGCGATGCCAACTTGCAAGCGCCCAGAATAGTACGAGCTTTGATCAAGGTCTATCAACCAGCTGGAGGCCAGCCAGACACACGACCAGCCGGGTTTTACTTGGTCGCATGGTGCTGAGCTCCACGTCAGCGTTTCGGCGAGACAGGCGCCCCGCGGGATGAAAGTCGAAGCGAGGGATCGTGGCGCAACGGGATGTTGTGGGATCATCCAAAGCAATTCTGGTTGCACTTGATCAAGCCACGCGGGAGGAAACTTGCACATCGTGGGATCATCGGTCCTCAGGTCTGTCGTCGTCGGGCGTAGGGGAGGTCGGCAGCGGGCTGCCCTGCACGGTAGACTTTTTTACCTCGTGAATCCAATGCTTCATTCTGTGTGCCCTCCACAGATCCGGCCATGATGCGCCTTGCGTCACGTTGCTGGAGCAGGGTGGGTGAGCGTGGGCTCTCCACAGGCCAGTTGCAGGTGGCCCTGGAACCCCTGGATGGCTCCATCTTCATGCTCACCCTGAACCGGCCTGATGCCCGGAACGCCATCGGGCGCCAGTTCCTGAGGGAGCTGAAGGAGAGCCTAGACAATCTGGTCCAGGAGAGGTCCACCCGATGCGTCATCATCAAGAGCTCGGTGTCCAGAGTGTTTTGCGCGGGTGCCGATCTGAAGGTGGGCATCTGTGCTGGGGGGGCGGGGGAGCCCAGGGGTTTGGGAGCTAGGATGTCCAGCGGGGGCAGGGGCCAAGAACTCAAAGTGGTAATGCCAGCTTCTCAGCGCTGATCTGGGAGTCTGTGTTTCCCAAGACCTTCTCTGGAAACTGCTTTGCAGGAGAGGGCAAACATGACCAGGCAGGAGGCCTCCGCGTTCGTGCGTGACTTGCGCGGCACTTTCTCTGCCTTGGAGGCCCTCCCCATGCCCACCATCGCCTGTGTTGATGGGTGGGTGCCTGGACCCATCGATGCGAAGGGTTCAAGTGGGCGTCTGCTTGCTGGAGGGTTTGCAGCTGGCTGCAGATGTTCATTGACAAGCGCTGCCTGGCTGCAGGCCGGGGCGTCTTTGGCGAGGGCGGATGCACGCATCATCATTCTCCTCAATCTCGATTTTGCAGGTATGCGCTAGGTGGTGGTGCAGAGCTGGCACTCGCCTGTGACTTCAGGGTTTGTGGTGAGTCATTGGGGTTCAAAGCGACGACGTGCTTCCTTCGGCAGGGCATTCCTGTCGAGGCCCAGCGCAGCGGGGGTGCGACATCCTCGGCAATCGCTGCAGTGGCTGCCTTGATGGGGTTCATGCTTGTTGTCTGCGTCGCAGATGTGCTGTCCCCACCAGCTCTGAGTGGTCAGTGAATGTTCCAACTCCTTGTGTGCTCCTTTCCATTCCAGGGACTGGCGCCCAGTTTGCGTTCCCCGAGACTCGCCTGGGCATCATTCCTGGGTCAGTCGAGGACTGGAGGCGGGGTTTTGGACGATCAATGGACAGTACAGCAGCAGTCGTGGGCAGCCATGGTCACTCCGGGCCTCTTCCCATGTCCCCGCCCTCAACACTCTCCCTGCAGGGCGGGGGGCACGCAGAGGCTGCCGCGTGTGGTCGGGACTCCCAGGGCCAAGGAGCTCATCTACACGGGGCGCAGGATATCTGCGCAGGAGGCCCTGGACATCGGTGGGTGCCCGCAAGGGGCAGCTGGCTGAGGATTGGGTGGCGCGGGGACCTGGGTGCGGGGTCCTTCCCTCCCTGTGCTCCTGCCTGTGACAGCGGCTGCCCCTTCTCCCCCCTCTCTCCTTTGAAATATCAAATCCAACCTTCCCTTCTCCCAGGCCTGGCCGACCACCTGGCTGACTCCGTGTCTGCTGAGGACCGGGCGCTGCGCCTCGCCCGCGACATCGCTCAGGTGAGGGGGGGTGCCTAGGTGGCCGTGCCGGAGGCCACAGTTTTGAAGGGCGGGAGTTTTATGCGGCAGTCGACTGGTGAGGGGCAAGGTTCAGGGGCAACTGGCCCTCCATGCCTGGCCGGTGTCAGCCGGCTGACCATGTACAGAACGAGGGCTCGTCCATTCTCAGTGAGCAATCCCAGTCTGCACACATCAGCACCCACATCCCAACCTGGGGCAAGTCTGTCGAAGGAAGAGCACCAACCCAGTCCCTGCCCCTTCTGCCACCATGAATGCAGGGGGGACCTGTGGCCCTCCGCATGGCCAAGCAGGCCATAGGCCTAGGCATGGAGGTGGACCTGGCCAGCGGGCTGCTGGTGGAGGAGGCGTGCTACGCCCAGGTCATCCCAACCCAGGACCGACTGGAGGGCCTGAAGGCCTTTGCAGAGAAGCGGCCACCCGTGTTCAAGGGGGAGTGATTGGGCACTTGCAGGGCGGCCTCTCTGTATCTGCTCTACAACCCCTTCCCAACCGCATCCCCCACCCCTTGTCCATGTGGCAAGGCTCTGTGAGAGTAGAGCATGGGAGTTTGCCAGACCCAGGGGCGACCTTGCTGTCGCCTCCACGACTATTTAATATCAGTCACAACAATACAGATCCGGAGTGTCCAGTGTACATCTACAATTCCAATGATGCTCGGGTGTGTTGTGGGGGGTCCTGGAGCTCCAGGCTTGAGCGCCTGGCCACGCCTAGCCGCTGCCCTCTGCTGCGACGCTCTTGCCCTCCCTGACAGCAGCGTCCTTGGGCCCCACACCCACGGCCTGGCCCTCACCAGGCGCCTTCCTTTCCACCTGCTCCTCCAGCTCATCAGGGGGGTGGAAGGGCTCTGCAGCGGCGTGCGGACCCGCGTCCGCCGCCGCCAGCAGCGCGCCCCTGCCCTCTGGGGACAGGTACGCCGATGTGGCGTACGCCACCTGGCGCATGAACTCGCTGGGGTTGTCGATGAAGAGGTAGTGCCCCGCGCTGGGGGTGGTCAGGATCTGCAGATCGGACTCACAGGCGGGGCTGCGCTGCTGCGCCAGGGCTGCCACCATGCGCTTGGCGCCCGCCGGGTCCATCCAGTCCTTGTCACCTGGGTCATGCATCGGTTTGCAGGGAGCATGAGTCGGTGTGCCAGGTCTGGAGGAGGGGTGCCAAGCCGGTGCGCCGACCAGTTTGGATGGCCAAGGCCGGAGAAGGGGCCGCTCCCATCACCAGCCTTCCCCTCCCGCCCCCCCGCCTCTCCCACATCCCAGACACACGCACCGTAGAAGAAAGTGACGGGCACGCTGAGGTCGGCGCAGCGCTCCTCCAGCGCCGAGCGTGGCCAGGCGTAGGGAGCCAGGATGTGGCGCAGCGCGAACTCACCCGACCCGCGCGCCGCCAGGATGTGGTAGAAGTACGATTCGAAGCGCGCCACCTCGTCGTCGTTGAAGGCCAGGCCCTGCAGAGAGTTGTGGCGACTGGTTTGGAGCGTCAGAGCGGTGGAAGGTGTGGGATGGCAGGGCATGAGGCATGGTGGACGCCACCCCCACTCCACCCTCACAATAAACACGCCTCGCCTCCTTCCCCCCCCCCCCAACCACCTGACAACACCGGTTCACCTGCTGGAAGCGGCCGCGCGCGTAGCGTGCCACCAGGCCAGGGCCAAAGGGCCCCAGCCCGCGGATGACCCTGCCCGGGGTCAGATCGTGGTCCCAGGCCGCGATGGCGGCGCGCGCCAGCTGCCCGCGCAGCGTCCAGCGCCCCGCTAGCGCAGCGGGCGGGCGCCAGTCCGGGGGCTGGCGCCCCACGCCCACAGGCGACACCAGCAGCAGGTGCTGCACGCGCTCTGGGTACCGCGCGGCGTAGCAGGTGGACAGGTACCCGCCCATGCTGTGCCCCATGAGCAGCATGCGGTCCAGCCCCGCCGCGGCGCGCCACGCCTCCAACGACTCCACGAAGAAGGCCACCGCCTCCTCCGTGGAGCGGGCCGGGAAGCGCGGCCGCCCGGACAGCCCCGTGCCCAGCAGGTCCACGGCGTGGAAGTGGAAGGCGGAGGCCAGCCCGTCCACGATGCGGAAGGCATGCCCAGACCCCGCAGCGTACCCGGGGATGGCCACCAGGGGGGGGGCGGTCGGGGTGGGGAGGGGGGGCCGGTGATTGTGTGCATGTAGTCCGCCGGGCCGGGGCCGACCTTGACATCGCTGGTCTGGGTGGGCGTCCTGAGCGGGCAGGAGGGTGGGGGACAAGGTGGGAAGACGGATGGGGATGGAAGGGAGAGTTTACACTCTGGAAATGGTGTGGTGGTGGGTGGGGGGGGGGAGAGGAGGGTGAGCCAACCACGTGCACAGACAGGCTTCCCTTGTGAACACGGATCATGTCACTCTGAACAACAGACACCCCATCCTCATTCGCACTACCCGCAGAGCGCGAGGAGACGCTCCTCAGCCGCCACTGCCTCCTTGTGGCTTGTCTGCCGCCACCGCGAGTACCGCCGGTACCTGCGTCGCAGCGGGCATGGTTGGAATTAGGGACGCTGGGTTACCGAGCAGGCCGCTCCAGGGTTGGGCGCAGGCAGGGCATGCAGGTTGGCCCACTACCTCCCAGGGCACAGCTGCTCCAGGCATGATAAGGGACCCCTTTCAAACAGCATGCCAAAAGTATGGCGCCCGTCTCATCACGCCGGCATCCTGCATACCATGGAGTTGCGGCGATGGCCGGGGAAGGGGGGGTGGCGTCGGGCCTGGCCATCCTCCGGAACACCAGAATCAGAGAGCGCCGCACCGTCGCGGCGGGAGAAGGCGCCAGAGCTTGGGTTTTGGTCGGTTCTCAACGTGATCTCAGGTGCAGACCGCCAATGGTTGGAGGCCGCTCCTGGCTGATCAGCCGAACGCGCCGGTGCCAGAACCTCGAGATCACTTCTTGCCTCTTCCTGGTCAACACACAGGGAGAGTGCAGCCTGATGCCTATGACAGGTAATTATAAAGGTATGGGGACAGAGAACATTTACACTCGGCGTGCCGAGCGATGTCGCCTCGTCTTGAGGCAGGGAGGGGCCCCACCTCTCGAGATTGTGGTACCCCCACATCATTGAGGCATTGTCAACCTTCCTGGTGGCTTCCCCCCTTTGTGCAACTCGATCGTATTTCAGTCAGCTAGACCACCACCATCCTGTGGACCAGCGGGGGAGCCAGAACAGGCGGCACAGCATGAGCATGGGTTCAGGGGTGAGAGAGGGTTCCAAAGGGCGGGGGCCCGGGGAAAATGAACAATCTTCTGGTCAACGTGAATCAGTGCTTTCGGGGTACAGGGTGTCGGTGGTCGCCGCAAGCCCCCTGGCCTGGCCAGGGGAGTCAACTGTCTCAGGTGGCACACACACACACAGTATGGGTGGGGCGGGGTTCAAACTCGGGACTCGGACCGGGTGGCGGGGCTCCAGGCTGGCTGCATCGTCCCGTCCGCGCCAAGAGAAACCAAAACCGTTCTCATCTACGTATCTATTGCTGCTGCAGGCCGGGCCGGCCAGCGGGAGGGTGGGTGGGGGGTCTGGCGCGGCGCGGGGCCCCGGCGCCATCCGGGGTCGGCTGTGCTGGCCCCGCCGCACCCCCCTACATGAACCCATTCAGCTGGTTGTCCGGCAGGGAGTTGCGCCAGGCGCGCCAGCCGTCGTAGTCGTTGGGCGTGAAGTCGCCCGTGGCACAGGTCACGCCGCGCCGCGCCCAGAGGCCGCTGGCCTCCTGGGCGTGCAGGCCCGCCTGCAGCAGCGGCGCATCGTTGTCCAGATGCTTGAGCACCGTCCCCGGGCCGCAGTCGTTCCAGGCGGCCTTGAAGCCGTCGTGGTGGTGCACGCGCGCGCCGCTGCCGCGCAGCAGCGCCGCCACCATGATGTCCTCCCAGGGCATCCGGCCCCACCAGGGCGGCGCGGCGGCGGCCGGCGCGGCGGCGGCCGCCGCCGCGCGCTCCACCACGACGTGCACCAGGTCGCGGGAGAGCGCGTAGCCCCAGCCCGAGGCCCAGCGCACGCCCAGCAGCGGCGCGGCCTGCGCGTCGCTCAGGTCGGCCTCCGCCAGGTACCACTTGTTGGCGGGGTCGCGCAGGGGGGCCCAGCCAGGCCAGACCCCGGACTTGTTGGAGTCCAGCTGGCCCACGTACATGCCTGTCAGCCAGGGCGCCGCGCGCGGGAGGCCGGCCACGCCGTCGAAGCGGGCCGCGGCGTCGGGGGGGGCGTCGATGGCCACCGAGAAGTCGTGCGCGCCTGTGGCGATGACGTCCAGCAGGGCCTGGGGGCGCAGGTACACGTCCTCGTCGGTCTTCACCACGTGGGTGAAGTTGCAGGGCGAGGCCAGCGCGTAGCGCAGCAGGCGCAGCGTCTTGTTGGGCAGCTCGCGGTAGCGCTCGCGCCCGGGCACAACCACCACGTCGCCGTGGGCCGAGACCTCGTCGGCCAACAGGGCCAGCCCCGCCGCCGCCTCGGCGGGGTCGGCGGGCTGCGCCAGCAGGAAGCGCACCGCCACGCCGGGATGCAGCCGCCGGGCGTCGGCGGCCCAGGTGGCGCGGATGGCCGCGCGCTTGGCCTGGCTCTCGGGGCTGCAGCAGCGGCTGGTCACGCCGATGAAGACGCGCACCGCCCCACGCGGGCACCAGGCCGGCAGCCGCGGTGCGGCGTCGCTGTCCAGCTCGGGGGCGCGCTCGCCAGCTGCGCGGCCGGCGAGCGCCTCGTCCGGGAGCTGGGCCGCTGCGTCGCCTGAAGGTGAGGAGGGAGTGGTAGGGTGGAGGTAATCAAGGGCGTGCCGACAAGAGGTGAGGGGCGAGGGGGTCCAGATATGCTAACACCGCGCCCATCGACGCTGGGCGGCTGGACGCCCTCGCCTGGGGTCCATTATGCGAGGGAGCTGACCAAAGCCCATGAGTTAACAATCAACCCGAGAGGTTCGTTGACCATTCCCACAATACCCAAAGCATTATCCCGGGCCCCTGCTCACCGGGTTGGTAGAGGGAGATGTCGTCCCAGGCGGAGGCGTCCAGGGCGTCGGCCAGGTTCACGATGTAGCCTGCGCGTAGGGTTGAGGGGCATGGCCGCCGTTGAGGCAGGGACAGCCCCGATCACGGCACTGATCTCACTCGATCCACCCTCGTACCCGCCTCACCTGCGTCCCTAAACTCCACCCGGGGCTGAGCGGCCTTCTCGGACCCTTGGCGGCGCTGGGCGAGCCCCGTCTCGGGCCACTCGAGGGTCTGCAGGGCCAGGCGTCGAGACAGGGAGGCCCTACCCCCCGCGACCCCAGGCTCCGTTCGGGCCCCGAGGCTGGTCGGGGAGCCGCCAGTGAGTCGCAGGTAGGCTATCGGGAGGGTGAGGAAGGCCAGCCCGTACAGGATGGCCACCGCGACCAGCAAATTCCTCCAGGCGCCCATGCCCGGCCGAGGCCAGCCGGCGCTGTGCGTCAGACCGCTGCTGCTGGGGGTGCGGGAGGAGCAGCCCAGTCCATCGCTGGATTGACCGCGGGATGCCAGGAAGGACAGCCCGCCGGTGAAGGGGCTGCTGCGGCTGGTCCCGCCGAAGGAGGGGCAGGTAGCAGAACGGGGTATCAGGGACATCATGTCCCTGCAGAAAGTGCGCAGGCCGAAGGGAGGTGCCGTTTGTCAAGACCTGCCAGCGGCTCGAGGAGGGGGGTAGAGGGCTCGTAGCGGCCTTTTCAATGTGACAGCGGTGGGGAAGGTGCGGGGGCCGAGGGCTTGCTGGCCCCTTTGCGAGGTTGCAGGGATGTGCAGCGATTGAGAGGGCAAGAGCGGGTCGAACCTTGTTGTAATGGTAACAGGGGTTGATCTCAGCAGAGCCAATGTCCTCGGACGGGCTCCTTCTGCCCTGCGTCGAAGCACCTTCAAAATACCGCGTAGCACTTCCCTACGTTTTTTGGGCCCGCTTTCCAATCCCTCATGGGGAAGGTGCTCGGCGAGAATCCGTTTTTCTCGATGCTCCCACCCATGCAGGGGCTGATGCGCATCAGGCACTCTTCCCAGCGAAAGCCAAACAACAATTTCACACAAGGTGAATGAGTACGGTCCGCCTGGCCCGGAACACGTTCTGCACCCCTCCATCAAGCTCCGGGTTGGCCCCGTCATCAGCTCCGACCCGGCAAGTGACCCCGTTGCATTCGAGGATTTACATGGTGGTACAATGAAACTTGGGGTTCTTGATTTCAAAGTGGCTGAGAATGAAGAAGGACTCAGAGCAGGGGCGAGGCTGGGGGAGTCCGTCTAAGCAAGGATCCCTCGCACGCCGAGTGCCGCCGGGCGGACATTCAGTACGTCTCCGCCACGCGACACCGGGTGTAATGACGCATGCACACGCTCTGCTGCACATGCTCAAAGTCGTAGCGCTCCAAAAGTCCGACTTTCTCCTGCAGACATAAGGGTCGGTGTAAAGGCTGGGGACTCTGGGCGAATACTCCCACACAAGATTATCTGTCCAACCGTTGGGAACCCCGCGCTCCGCACCCGCAGCGCCAGGTTCTCGTCCTTGATCTTTCGGTTCCGCTCCTCCAGGGCCTGTGTCCTCTTCTTGGTAGCATACAATTCTTGTTGCACCTAGGGATGGTTGGGGGGAGGGAGATGAAGGGGGTGCTGGAGGTGGAGCTGGGTATTAACAGCGGCATGGGAAGCGCAGGCGACCAGTGTACAGTCAGCCAACAGGCATGGCGTGGTGTACTGAAGCAGCGGCGCGGTTCACACATGGTGCATGCACTCCTTTTCCATGAGGCGAACTGCCTCCGTCTCGTGAGTGACCGTGGTCACGGCCCCGACTCTGCAGCTTCTGCTCGGGTGCTGCCCAGGGCCCCCTCCCTCCCGACTCCTGCACCGCCCCTCAATCATGCCCTTCCTCCCCATCCCACCCCCACTGACCTGGCGCAGGGCCTTCAGGGTCTTGCTGGTCTTGGCCAGGTTCTCCTTGGATACGGTGCGCGAAAGGTCGGCGATGCGCTGCATGCGGTGGTACTCCGCCGCCAGCTCGGCGTGCTTCTCGGCCAGCACCGCGCGCGCGCAGACCGTCTTCACGCGCCCCTCCGACAGCTCGCGCACCACGCGCGTCAGGTTATCGCACTCGGCGCTGCGCCGCGCCAGCGCCGCCTCCAGCGCCGCCAGCCGCACCGCCAGCGCCTCGCGGTCGGCGTCGGGGAGGGGGCGCGGTGCGGGCGACCGCGCGCGGCGCGGCAGGCGCAGCGTCATGGTCACCTCCGAGTAGCCCGGCGAGCTGGGGCACCGGTCGCTCGGATCGCCGTCGTCCTCGGGGAAGTCGGGGCAGGCGTCGTGGTCGGGGAGGGGGGAGTCGGGGGCGGAGCACCGCACCAGGGCGGTGGTGTTGCTCTTGATCAGGGCCTCGAAGAAGGCGGCCTTGGCGCGCACGCCGGGGCTCTCGCGGGGGCGGGGTCCCTGCAGGCTGGGCTCCCCTTCGGAGCACTCGGAGGAGGAGGGGGGGGGCGCAGGGTTGCGACGTGCAGGAGCTGCCGCCCAGGCTGGCGCACTCCACCTCCTTGGGGCCGGGCGGGGGCCGCCAGGAGGTCATGGAGGTGAACATGGGCCCCAGCGGGGGCGGATCATGCAAGGTGGTGCGTGTGGACGCCGGGTTGGGCGGGACCGCACCGCGCCTGCGGGCACCGTGTCGGGGGGGGGTGAAGTTTGAATTCGGCGAGGCGAGGGGGGCCGCGAGCGAGTTGAGACGGCTGTTAGGAGGCCACCACGACTTGTGCAGGGTCGGGCTGGGGTAAGAAGGCGGCACGCGCTCCCTAGCCGGCTTGCCTCCACTCCTCGGACACCCAGTGGCGGGCTGACTTCCATGCATCTCACCTGGCGTGATCGAGCGCGTCGGCACCTGAATCAGCCTTGAATACTCTTGAAATGACAGAGTATGGCAGAAATTCGCGGCTGTGCCGGGTCTACGGCGAAGAAGGTCGGGGTGCACACTCCTGACCACGGTCGCCCGCCCTCCGAGTACTCGGGTGCGAAGAGCACCTCTCTGAACGATGTCTACGCCGCAATGGCCATCTGCTCATGTGTGATTGCCGTTGGAGGGGTTGAGTCGAGCAGATTTGGCTCCCCGAGAAAGTCGCCTCGGCACCACCCAAACTAATCCCGACACGCATTTCGCGGGAGCAGGTTGACCCTGCAGGGTGCCACAGACATCGAGGCCTATCGGCGTGACTTGTAAATCTCTTGGCGCTCATCGTGCCTCACTAGGTACACTTGTACCCCAGTAGTTGACCGTGTTTACCCCGACCACGCACCGGTGATCACACAACCTTCTCCCAGTGCAAGTCACATACTACACCAGCCCGCTCGCGATGGAATCCCGTCACGATGCAGCAGCATTCCTGGACCAACCTGTCTCCATGGGGGTGAGTGATGGAGGCTGTGTGCTGCGGGGCTCAGGCGCTGGTCCCGCTGCTTGTTGCAGGGAGGCACTGGGGGCAACGCACTCCGAGCCTGCCAGCTGACCTGCATCCCGCCCCTCACCGCAGACTACGATCATGGCTGCAACATTCGACGGCGGAGTGATCCTGGGCGCCGATTCTCGGACGTCAACAGGTGACTATATTGCCAACAGGGTAACAGACAAGATCACCCCGCTGTCCGATTCTGTCTACATCTGCCGGTCGGGCTCCGCGGCCGACACGCAAAACATGTCGCGCTACATCTCCTGGTTCCTGGAGCAGCACGAGATGGACCTCGGGGAGGGGCCGCGGGTGGAGACGGCCGCCAAGCTGGCCCAGAGCATGGCCTACCAGAACAAGAACCACTTGCAGGCGGGGCTCATCGTGGCGGGGTGGGACCGAGTGGCCGGGGGCAGCGTCTTTGCCATACCCCTGGGTGGTACCATCGTCAATACCCCCTTCTCCATTGGCGGCTCCGGGTCGGCCTACATCACCGGGCTCTGTGACCGCCTCTGGAAGGTGCGCAGGGCGCGGGGCTTGCGTTTACCGGAGAGAGGGTCTGGCGAGGGACGGCATGCAGGGCATTCACCGCATGGATGGGTGACATCACGAGATCCTGGAAAGACCACTTCGAGACGGGCAGGCATCCCTTGGTGTGGGTAGCCAGGGTCACGCGGACGACTTCGTGCAGTCGAGGGGCTCAATGTACCCATCACTCCCTGCTCAGCGCGCCATCCACCAACCCCCTGCTCCAGGCAAACATGACGGAGGAGGAGTGCAAGGCGTTTGTGATCAAGGCGGTGTCGCACGCCATGGCTCGGGACGGGTCCTCGGGCGGTTGCATACGCACCGTGATCATCACCAAGGACGGCGTGAAGAGGGACTTCCTGCCGCACAACCGCATCCCCATAACGCATGGCGAGCTACCTCATCCCGAGCCACAATCAGTGGCTGCTGCATGACCGTGCGGCTGCATGTGCTGTCAAGCTGTAGGCACCATGATCATGAAGCAGTGATGGATGTCAGATCTGTGAAGTGTCGCGCTTCACGCTTTCACGGCGGATACAAGTCCTCGAGGTACGTACAGCACACATGTATACACACCGTATCATGTGTACATCACTTGGAGTAAGCATCGTTACTATTGGGACGCTCTCTTCTTGAATAATCTGCGCGACACTTCGGCTCCCCTAGCGAATGGGTACCTCGTTGGCCGGTAAACCCCTCTCTGGAGGCTCGATTCAGGACAGCGAGGTGGCCAGGTTCGGCATCGTTACAGTGAGCGATCGCGCCTCGGCCGGCGTGTACGAGGACGCCAGTGGACCGGCCATCTTGGGTTTTTTCCACGACGCCATCTCGACAAGGTGGGTACCGGAGCACATGGGCGGGCCAAACCGCGCACCATCGCCCAAGGGGCCGTGGAGTGGCTGCTGACAGTCGCCGCATCAGTCTCTGGGTCCATCCCAGTACACTCTCCACAGATGGGAGGCCGAGTACCGCTGCGTCCCGGATGACCAGCCCACCATAGAGGCCACCCTCAAGGAGCTGGTTGATCAAGCCCGCTGTTCCCTGGTGGTCACAACCGGGGGAACGGGGCCGTCTCCCCGCGACGTCACGCCAGAGGCGACGGCGTCGGTGAGCGGGTGCCTGGCTCGGTGCCAGGGGCACCTGACCGCGCCAGTGGCGGCTGTGAACCACCTGCCTGGTCATCCAGGGGCGTTGGTGGGCAGGTTTTGAGGGTGCCTGCCCCACCTGCCCCACCTGCCGGACCATGGTCACCTGGCCTCCACCCCCACCCGCCCACCCCAGGTGTGCCAGAGGATGATGCCGGGGTACGGCGAGCAGATGCGGGCCGTGTCCCTGCGCCACGTTCCCACCGCTGTGCTCTCCAGGCAGACCGCCGGCCTGCGGGGCAAGGCCCTGATCCTGAACCTGCCCGGCAAGCCCAAGGCCATCCGCGAGACCATCGACGAGGTGTTTGCCTCCATCCCCGCCTGCATCCGCTTGCTGGGGGGCCCAGACATCAGGACGGACGACTCCGTCGTGAAGGCCTTCCGCATGCCCGACGCCAGCCTGCCGCCCAGGGAAGGGCGCTGAGGGAGCGCGTACCGCAAGGGCGCTGGCCCCACACCCTTTCTGGCAGTGCTCTCTGTGGCGAGCGTTCGTGGCTTGGCCCTCTGGAGTGGAGCCGCTCCGGCCGCTCTCGTGTCACAGAGCCGGAGGGAGTGCCCATCTTGCACGCATGCTGGGCGCCAGGGCACCGCCCCTGCCAGCCACTCGGCCTGTGCTGCATCGAGCGCCTCGCCGGGATCCGTTGTACAGGGGAACGCAGTCAGGCAAATTGCCATGGCATACAGAAGCGTGGGGTCATATAGCGTGGGCGTCCTCAAAAGTGAACCCCCACAAGCGTGGTCATGTATGATGCTGGTGCTGGGTGGAGGGGCCAGCCGGATCAAGCTGCCGGTGCCGTGCACCACTGAGTTTGAACCGTCCCACTCCTGGCGGGCTGCAGCCACCGGCAGCCTGGCGCCAGCTCAGCAAAGGCTCCCCATTCTCGCCGCCGCTCCCGCCCGGCCCCGCGACGGCAGGCCGCCCCCGCCTGGGAGCCGGTCTGCGTGCGCGCCTCTCGGCACGACCTAAAGTGCGCGACGAATTTGACCCCGGCGCGCTTAGCCGGCGACGACGCGCGCCGCGGACAGGTCCCCCCCCACGCGCAGGAAATTGCAGTGGGCCAGGCGCGCCGCGGTCCAGCGCCGCCCCGGCCGGCGGCGCAGCAGGCGGCGCAGCGCACGCGCGGCGTGCTCGTCCGCCACCTCGCCCGCCCAGCCGCCCGCCGCTGCGCCCGCCCAGCCGCCCGCCGCAGCGCCCGCGCCCGGCGCCGCCGCCTGGCCCAGCAGCGCGCGCAGTACGGCCTCGTCCGTGGCGCCAGGGTCGAACAGGGGCCGCCCCGCCAGCGCCTCGAACAGCACCGCGCCCAGCGCCCAGGCGTCCAGCGCGGGGTCTGCGGCGACGGCGGCCTCGCCGCCTGCGTCCGCCACGGCCAGCTCGGGCGCGGCGTAGCGCAACGGCGCGGCGACCTCGGCGCGGCCCCCCGCGGACGCCCACCCCGTGTTGCCGGCCAGCTTCCAGCGCCCCTGGCGCCCAAAGAAGCCCAGGTCGCGCGGGTGGAGCGTGCCGTACACCCCGCCCCGCGCGTGCAGGTGCGCCAGCGCGCCCGCTGCGTCGGAGACGAGCACCAGGCACTGCGCGGGCGGGGGGCGGGGGCAGGCCGCCAGCAGCCCCGCCAGCGTGAAGTCGGGGCGGGGGGTGACCACCGAGGGGGGGAAGGTCCTCCTCGTCGCCGTCCTGTGTCGTTGAGGGCGGGCGGGTGGTTGTGGGGTGACCGTGTGTGCGGAGCGGGGGGGGGATGCAACCGGCTGGAGCATCAGAACTGGAGCGGATCTGGCGGCGCAACCTAGAACCCTCGTGAGCGGCAACCCTCCTGCTCAGATCGACACCTTCCACACCCTCTTCCCCCCCACTGCGTCCCAAACCAGGGAGAAGGTACCTGGTGGGCGAGGAGAGGGGGGATGTGGAGTGGGTCCAGGCCCAGCTGGTGCAGCGCAACCTCGTGCCGGTATTCCGCCATCTGCGGGCCGTGGAGTTGATTTGGAAGAGGGCATTGTGGGGAAAGGGTGACGGAGTAAGGACTGCAACCACTGCCCCACACGCCCACAGCTTTGCTGGCAGGGACTCTGCCAGGCCGGTCCCACCACACAGCTCGCGGTCCCTCACCCTGGCGAAGAATTTGAAGGCCACAGGCTCGCCGGTCTCGCAGTCCTCCCCAAACCTGGGCGGCAGATGGGGCGGCAGGGGAGGCAGGGTCGGATGGAGCTGGGACCGGCACTCCCGGCGAATCCTAAAGGAACCACACCACCTGTGACTCGCCCACGCAGTGTGCCGGGTCCCCAGAACGCACGCCGAGGAGCCCCTGCCCCCCTCTCAAGCCCTCCTCCCCCACCTGGTGAGGCAGGTCTCGGTGACGCTGCTGCCCGGGGTCACCAGCCAGCGGCCCAGGAAGGTGCGGCCGACGGACAGGTGCTCGGTGCGGTCCGCCAGGATGCGGGTGAGGAAGGAGGCCTCCCCGCCCCCGCTCCACAGTCGCTCGGCGCGCAGGACGCGGACCACGGGCAGGCCTGCCAGCGGCACCTCCGCCGCGGCGGGGGGGCTGCCTGGCGGCCCCTCGATGTCGTCGTCGCTGTCGCTGTCGGCCTCGCCCGGGTCCAGCCCCGCCGGCAGCGTGCGCTCGTACTCGCTGGTCCTCCTTTCCGTCTGGGAGGCTTCTCTGGACGGCGCGGCGGGGGACCTAGCGCCCAGGGACGCGGCATCGAGGCATCCGGCGGCCAGAGACTCGACGCCAGCAGAACCGATGCCGTGAGGTCCTGTGCCCAGGGACACCACGGCCAGGGATCCGGCGCCCAGGGAGGAGGCCGCGGTTGGCGAGATGGTAGAGATGAGCGAGACGGGTCCCCACTCCTCCGACCCCCGCGTCGTGGTGCGGGGGGAGAGCTGCGGGATGGTCTTGGGCGTGAGCCCCCCGTTGACGCTGGCGGAAGGGGGATGGTCCTTGGCGCTGGACCGGTCGCCTGCGGCCGACTCCTGGGCGGCCAGCGCGGCGGCGCTCCTCCTCCGCCGGCGTCGGCGGAGGAGCCAGAGCGCCAGCAGGCCCCCCAGGAGCAGCGCGCCCAGGCCGGCGCCCAGCACCGCCCAGGCCCAGGCGGGCGTGCCGCTGCCGGCCACGGCGGGCGGCGGGGGTGGCGAGGGGGCAAGGGGGGGGGCGACGCTGGCCGGTGTATAGGCCAGGCGGCTGGCCATGGTCACGACGATCCCCTGCGGCGCGCCCGCCGCCACCAGCCCCGCCCGGATGTTGGCCGCGGTGATCGCGGTCTGCAGCGCGGCGTACACGCCGGCGGCCGCATCGGCCGTCGTCAGCGTCGCGTTGGACAGCGTGAGCGGGGAGGGCGCGGGCGCGGCGGCGCTGGCCACGCTCACCTTGGCGGGCGAGAAGCCGGGCGCGCCGGCCAGCGTCGTCATCAGGGCGGTTTGCAGCAGCCTGAAGTCGGCCAGCTTGGCCGTGCCGGCCTCGGCGGCCGCCTCGCTCGGGAAGCGCGCGAGTACGCTGAACGTTTGCGTCGTGCTGGTGGGTGGAGAGGCGGCGGGCGCGGGGGCCGCTGCAGGGGCCTCTGTGGCCGCGCCGACCAGGCGGCGCCCGGCCCCGCGCGGTGGGGGGGTTTGGGGTGCCGCGCTCGTGCCGGATGCCATGGTACTGATGTCGATGTCTTCGGCGGGCAGACCCATGGTCAGCGCTACGGCGACCTGGACCCCCCCACGCAAGATGGCGGCCTCCGACCCACCGCCCGTCACGGTCACTCTGGAGGTGACGGCCTGGATCAGTGTGAAGTTGATCTGGCCGGGGATGAGGGAGACCGTGGGGGCCAGGGCGGCGCGATAGGTGTCCAGCACCGCGTCGTTGTAGGAGCCCCAGCTGGCGTTGGTGGTGAACCACGCCCAGGTGGCCCACCCCACGACGTCGGTGGGCACCCAGGGCGGGGGTGGCGGGGCCGAGGCAGGGCCCGGCTGCGAGGGGCCGGGGGCGTCGGGCGAGGGCGGGGATGCAGTGGGGAAGGGAGAGGGTGGACGGGCAGGGGGTGGGGGTGGTGGAGGGAGGCTGGGTGAGGGGCTGGGGGCTGGGGAGGCGGGTGGAGGGGGGGCAAGGGATGGGAAAGGAGCGGGGGCGGGGGGTGGAGGCGGGTGCGGGGAGGGGGGTGGAGGTGAGTGCGGGGAGGGGGTGGAGGTGAGTGCGGGGAGGGAGCCGGCGGGGGCGGGCTGGTGGCGGGTGGTGGCCTGCTGGGCGTGAGCGGTGGGGGTGGATTTATTGGAGATGACTGGGACGGGACTGGAGCGGGTGCTGGGGGGGTGCGGGGGGAAGGCTGTGGGGTACCGGGCGGCTGAGATGGGGCGAGCCAGGGACCAGGTGGAAACGCCGGTCCTGCGAGGTAGGTGAAGAATGGGGCGTCAGGGGTCAGTGGGGGGGGCGGGGCGGCGCGCGGACCCTGGGAAGAGGCGGGCCCGATGCTTGGGAGGACGATGTGGCGCGGCCCACCCACGCCCTCAATCCTCCCCCTACCATTGCTGCTGCCCTGGCATGCAGTATCAGTGGGTTGCACACTGACTCCCACTTCCAGAAGTCCCACCCCACCCCTCACTCTACACCCCACCTGGTGCAGGGCCATCGCCAAACCCATGATCGGGCTCGGGCGCCGGCGCAAGCGGCGGGTCCGGGGCCGCGGCGGCCGCGGCGGCCACCTCGAGGAGTATGGCGCGGCCGACCCCGGGGTTGAACCTGCCCCCGCCCTGGCCCACACTGGCGCGGGGCGTGGCCGCCGTCATGGCCGGCCCCCGCCCCAGGGCGGCGGCGCAGCCGCCGTCCACGAGGAGGCGGGGCCCCAGCGCGGCCCCCAGCGCGGCCAGCGCGGGCCCCGGGGCGCCGGCACACAGGCCGCGGATTCCACGCAGGTCCAGGGCCTGCAGGCGCGGCGGGGCCGCCCAGGCGTCGGGCAGCCGCCCCGTCAGCGCGTTGTGGCTCAGGTCCACTGCGCGCAGCGTGCGCAGCGTGCGCAGCGCCGCCAGCGCGGGCGAGAGGCGGCCCCGCAGGCCGCGCCCTGCCAGCTCCAGCGCCAGCACCGCGCGCCCGCCTGCGTCACACACCACCCCGGGCCAGCTGCAGATGTGCTGGCCCTGCCAGTCATCAAACACGCTGCCACGGGAGGGGGGCCTGTTGGAGAGAGGGAGTGGGGGGTGGCGTCGGGGTGGACGAGGGGCGAGTGAGGAGAGGGGACCAACGAAGGGTGACAAGAGGTGGGGGAAAACGCGAGGAGTGTCTGCATCAGGGAAGACCTAGGCAGAGGTGAGATGCATGGGGCAACCGATTCTTATCTTTGGGACGCGCAGTGATCCTCATGGACATACACGAGTGGTGCAGGGGGTGAACGCGACCTCACAGGCACTCGGGGCATGGTCAAGGGATGTGCACATGCCTCTCGCAAGGCCCACAGGCCATGGGGGTGAGCAGCTCTGCCAGCATCTTGCGGCAAAAAGGTCCGATACATGCCCCGGTCGCCCCAAGGTACGACGCCTGGCACCCCCAGCCCACCCTGAAGGCCTGCAGCAGGGTTGCCTGCTGTACCAGGCTTTGATGTGGGACCTCTACATCCAGACAGAGCCCACTCCGGACAGCCAGCAGGACGACCGCGCAGGTGATGAGCGGCACTGCCGGGCGGGGACACACAGAGGGGCGATCTGAGCTCCAAGCCAGGCTGCACGGAGAGCACCATCCAGCAACATGCCCCGAGATTTGGCCTCCCCAGAGCGCCATGTGGGGAAGCAGAGGCACCCGGCACCTGCTCCACGGCTCTCAAAGGGTCTCATGGCAGGGCTGATCAGGCACTCCCACGGCAACTCCTGGGGGCGGCAGCCTGCGTGATATGCAGTGGAAGGTTGGGGGCCGTCCAAGGGTAACGTCCCGATGTGTGCATACAGGCAAGCCAAACCTCTATCGATGCGTGTTTGGGGTGCGCAATCCCCGTTTGGGTCATGGGCCCAGCCCTGCTACCCGCGGGGGGTGCACCTGGTCCCCGAGGTACTCGGCCTGCCTGCGAGCACGGGGCAGGAGCCCCTGAACTCCACAACCCACTTCAGATGGGAATGTGATGAGGAGTACTGGGCGTGGACGTCAGTCTCCTGCCGAGGGGGTGCCCGTTGCTCATTCCCAATCCCGCCACGACCATGGGTGGGTGAGTCATGCGTCATGCTGCCTCACCAATATGGCGGTCCAGGCATGCTGGTCCAGCGAGCAAGCGGAAGCACTCCATGCATCCACCCTGAAAGTCTTAAAAAGTTTGTTATTGTCATCGCTTGGGGAGGAATAAGGGTGACATTGCCGCGTCGTCATCATGTCGTCCACGGCGGTCGCGGCTTTCAGCCTGAAGAACTTCAACAATAACGGCATCCCCTCCACCAGCGACGTCGGGGTGGGTTGGCGAATGGATGTGGTCATTTCCTGGGACGGGTTCAGGTGCGCATTTCCCCCGGTCCCAGCCCACCCCCCCACCCTCCCACACTTCCTGTGCCAGATTGCAGCATCACTGAGGAAGAAGGTGGATGACGCCACCTTCACCTTTTCCTTCACGGATTCTTCGCTGAAGGAGCCCAAGCTGGGGAAGGGGGTCGTCCTGGCCGTGGAGAAGCCCCTGGCAGGTGTGGCGGCAGGGCGGGGTGTGTGGGAAGGGAGGTGGCTGTCCGAACCGGTGTGGCTGGATTTGACCACATACAGCTCTCTCTGGTCCCGCTGCATCACTTCAAGGGCCATCTGATATGCTGGCAGGGTCAGCAGCGAGTCCCGGCTCCGTGCATCGCCCTCCTCAAACCCCCCTCCCTCGACCCCACAGATGGCTTGAAGGCCAGCCTGGCACATGACTTTGGCGCCAGCAACAGCGTGGCCTCCCTCACCCTGAACCGGTTGGTGAACGGCTCGGATGTGCAGGTGAAGGCCATCTACAAGCGGGCTGGGGATGTGTTCATCATGGAGGAGCAGTGGAAGGTGGACAAGAACACACGCATCAATGGCAGGTGTGTAGGGGCAGGTGGCAGGGGAGGGGGCGGGGGTGGGCGGAGGGATATCCGGGACACACAGCGTGCGATTGAACGAGAGCTGAGCCCCCAGGCAGGCACGCAGGGTGAGAGTTGAGTCGGACCAATCGTGTTGAGGGGTCTTATTGACGAGGTCGCCAACAGATTGTGGTAACGTACCTGCTCGGTTCACACACTCACACCTTCCCTCCCCTGCCCCCCCCCTCCCTGCAGCTACAACTTTGCGTCCGAGGAGGCGGCAGCCTCCGTGACCCACACCAACGGTCCGTGGACCGCCTCCGCTGCCTACAACTTTGCGCGCGCCGCACCGCTGCTCAGCATCAGCCGGAAGGCGGGTGCTGACACGGTGGGCGCCACCTATGCGGTCAACGAGGACGTCGGGACGGTGCACTGGAGCCGCAAACCAGTCAGGGTGAGCATGTTTACTGTTCGAGCATTGGGTTTGCCTGCTCCTGACCGGCCCATGTTGGAAAATTGGACGGCGACCTTTGGCCTCAGATGGTGGGGTTTCTTGCTCCGCCCCTGTCTAAGCTCCTGGGCCAATCCCTGCTGTGATCCCTCTTCACCCCCAATTCCTCCTAAAACCTGCAGGCCACCCTGAGGGCAGCCAATGTGACGGGCAAGCCGGCATGGAGCAGCCTGTCTGCCAGCATTGTCGCCACGCACGAATTCGACTTGTGATGCGGCTTGCAATCTGGGCAGCGAGCTGTGGGGCTGGCGGCACAGGGCCTCCACTCAGAGGTGTGGAATTTGGCGTGCATGATCGCAAGGCTTTGGGGCAGAGTTCACCACAGGGTCGACGATCTTTGGGCCCCTGAGAGTGATTTGCACCCTGCGGGATCCTTTCAGCCCTGGCCCTTGAATTCCCCACTATGAACAATGCAACACTTGAAGTGAGCAAGGGTTTGTGTCGGCCGCGTATTAAGGCAGAATAGGTCCAGTCCTGGCTCGTGTGTCCAAGAGTGGAAAGGGGGGCATGCATCCCAACAAGGGCCTGGGATTGCCCAGAAAGAGTCGAGGTGAGGGTCTGCTGGCAAGCACATGGAGGAAAATACGGGTGGACAGCACGGGCAATCCCGCAATGTCTTGCCAGGCCTGCCATTTATTGCAAGGTGACACAGTGGATGTGCGTGTGGAACAGATCTGCATTCATTTGGGTCTGCAACTCAAGTGCTCGTTCCTGGAGTGGGTTGGAGCCCTTCAAGGAAACCCAGTTCTTGAAGATGACCTTCCCTGCTAGCAGCGGAAGTCCTGGCTGAGTGGCGCTCAGAGGGTGGGATTTTGCCGCCCGCCTTGGCCCCTCCCCCCCGTGCCGTCTGGCGTCTCCCGCGCGGCCTCCTTGGCCGCCCCCACCTCCCCGCCCTCGGTGCGAGCGCTTTCGGCCTGGCTGCCCAGCTCCATGCTCTCCATCCAGGCCAGCGCATCGGCCCGGCCCTTGTCGATCAGCGACACCACCGTCGCCTCGTCGGCCGGCTCCAGGGCCCAAGAAACCATGGAGGCCAGGCTGTGCGGCCATGGCGTGAAGGTGTCTGGACTGATGCCAATCCTGTGGGTGGCGCGGGGGGAACGGAGGGGTTGTAGAGAGCACAAAACGTCAAACGAGGGCCCCACAGCGAGCTTGAGCCGTTACCCTGACAGCCGCAGCGACGGTGCAACACAGGAGTGCCCTCCAGGCGCCCATATTCCCCCAAGGCCTCCGTGCTCGCCTGTAGATGGGGCTGAGCTGGCGCGAGGGAAAGCAGCAGACGCGCACCCCCGTCGTGCCAGGGGGGATGGGGATGAAGTTGGTCATGCCGCCGTCCATGACGTAGGACCCCCGGAACTCGGTGAAGAGGCTGGAGTCCAGCCAGTAGGGGATGTGGCAGGAGGATAGCAGGGCGGCGATGAGGTCCTCCCTGTCCTGGAACTCCGAGAGCAGCATGGGCTGGAGCATGGGGAAGGCCTTGCTCACCCCGATCTGCAGAGTGGAAAGGGCGAACATGGAGGGGGCTGTGAGGCGACAGCATGGCCTGGGCTGCAGCCCCTGGCACAGAATCTGGCAGGGCACCCGCAGCCCATCACAGGCACCAAGCAGACCTTGCTGCGCAGGTGGAGGCGAAAGGGGTTGGCTGCGGGCGGTTATCCGTCATATTTACATGTGAAATAGCCTCAAACTTGCTGTCATCATGCGCATCGGGTGCTAGGATGTAGCGATCCAGCGTGGAGTAGCGTGCCATACCCGCCCGTCACTCCCGCAGCCCATGCATGCACCTCCGATGACCAGCACAGTGTCTTCGCGTTGGCATCAATAGCTCGACAACAAGCTCTGCACCTGATCATCACCTCACAGGACGTGCACCAGGCTGTCGCGCTCTCCTCCCGGCCTCGGTTCAAATCGGGAGGAAAGAAATCAGATCCTGCATGTCTACCCTGCTCAATCATAGTAGGTGCCCTGGCACGGCTCATGCCTGGGTGCAGAAGGTGTTACAGGCGTGGAAAAGGGGATCGAACAAAGACGCAGAGGGGATTGATTGTGCAGCGCAGGCATCAATTGGGGAGTGGTACGAGTCATGGGAGTGCGACTGCCAGCAGGTAGCAGGAAAACTGTGAGGGTACAGGGAAGTAGAGTACATCGACAGCCTGCACAGGCCAAACGAAAATGTATCTCTGGAGGAACGAGGTGGGTCCAGTATTGCCAACTTTGCTGCTCTGTGGCTCAGGAACAGCCGCCGCGGTCATGTCCGTGATCACAGGACGATCCGCGTGCGGCAGGTTGGGCAGCGGGCATGCTTGCACAGCCAACCGTCAGCACAGCGAGCATGGAAGGCATGCTTACACTCTGTCAGGACTCTGGTAGGGGGCCGGGGTGTGCGGCGTGGGTGGGGGCCAGTACTGCTGCATGGCTGCACCCCGTCGCTCGGGCTCCGCATACCCCAGTCCCCATGAGCACCCAACCCACCGCTTCCCAACCCTCCAATTCCCAGGATGCCCAACCCCCTTCCTCTCGGCCCGCCGCTCACCGTATTTGCTCGGCATGCTTCCAGTCCTCCAGGCATATCGCGCACGTGGTCTGCTGCAGTGCTCCCACACCATGCTGCAGGTCCCAGGCCGTGATCCTCCTCAGGCCCAGCGAGCGCAGGCGCCACGCCTGGTCCTCTGGTGAGGTGAGATTCGGGGGGTGTTGCAGTGACCTGGGAACTGCAATGAGGATGTGAGCAGCGTGCCACGGGAGCCAAGCAGCTGGCTGCTGCTCCAGGGCCACCCCTTCCCCCAAACCCCCTGTTGCATCGAGCCCCTACACAGCACCCTGCATAGATGCTTCCAGGGTCTCTACCCCCGGCTCCCGCACGGCCATCTTGTCTCACGCTCCCTTCCTGTTGCCACTCACATACGCCTTGCCCTGGACCTTGGTGTGAGCATCCTCCGGCAGGTGCTTGTGCAGGGTCCTGGCGAGCACCTCCCCCAGCCGGCCCCGCGTGCCATGCAGCCGGCAGTCGGCCATCAGTCGCAGGCTGAACTCGGTGATGTCATCCAGCCGCATGCCGGAGGTGAGGCACACCGCCAGCAGCGAGCCGGCAGAGGACCCTCCCACCTTGGTGTTGGCTGCTCGGTGCGGGACGGGACGAGGGGCTCTCAGCGAGGGAGGCCACGGGGACATGGCGAGGCGGGTGGGGAGGGCATAGCCCCCCAGCAGCCTCAGAAGCGATACGGCCTTCCCCTCAGCCCTTCGCGACTGCGCACCAGTGAGTATCTGCCCATCACGAAGGGCCCCAGAGACTCCAATGTAGTATGGGAAGAGGCACCCGCCTGCAGGTGGTAAGTGGGGGGATTTGGAAGCATGAGGGGAAAGCACTCGAGGGCGCTGCCCGGCCATCCTGCGCAGCAGCCTGCCACTTCTGCTGGGGGTGTTGCCAACATCGATGAGACGCCACCCTCTGGATCTGGGCATCGCTTTTGTCGGCCCACCTGCGCTGAAGCCAAAGCTCAGGGTGCCCTCCTTCACTGCTTTGTGCACGGTGTCCTTCCACGATGCATTGCTCACAATGAGGGTGCCCCCCAGGTTCTCGAAGACTGATTCATTTGCCACGGCACTGGTGGTAAACTGCAGGCGACAGGCTGGGCTCGAGAGTGCGTTCCGTGCAAGAGTGTGTGCACGGCGCATTTAAAGCCTGCTGAGCTGATGCGTGGCAATGGGTCACCGCAGCTGCCAGACTCCGGTCAGGAAGTTCGAGGCGAAGCGCATAGCCCACAAGCGCGTGCGAAGAGTTCGCGTGATTTGTGTAAATTGTCTGCACTACCACTGTACACTCACGCCCTCCCTCTGGCGCTGCTGGGTGCTGTGGGGAAGCAGAGCTGGAACTTTGTTCATTGCAAATTTCTGCACCATGTTCGGAGGAAAGGGCGCGCGACTGGAGTTGCCTGGCGGGAAATTCGGCTCCAGTCGGCGGCAAGTCTGTAGGTTCATCACGCCAAGTCCGGCCCCACAGCGCCCTCTCTCCCTCTGGATAAGCAGAGGGTGCCTCGCGGGAGCGGTTAGTAGGCGCAATGAAGCAGTTGATTTCTTCGAGGACACTTGCTCTCCCCTCCGGAGTGGACGTGGAGGTCAAGGCCCGGCAAGTTCGCGTGAAGGGCCCCAGGGGTGAGTCTCGGCGACTTCGTGGTCTTTGGGGATGAGAGAATGGCTTAGTTTGTTTTTGGAGTGATGGTGCGGTTGCTGCTATGCGGGGAGAGCCCGGGGTTTCCCTCGGACCTCGGCGCGGAATCCGCCGCGCCGTGCCCGCCCGGGCTCCACCCACCGCACCAGGGGCGGCATGCTGCATAAGTCTACGCGTGCCCGACCCAGCGCACTCACAGCCCGCACTGTGCGGGGGCGAGGCGCCCGTGGTCACACCAGGCCTTGCGGCACGCCCACCTGGGCTCAGCAGGCCCTCCAGGATCACGGCCCGGCACCCTTGGCTGGCATCCCGCCTCCCCACCCACTCCCATCCCTCCTTTCCCCCCACACCCCCCCAGGCGTGCTGAAGAAGGACTTCAAGCACCTTGCCGTGGACATGTTCCTGACGGAGGAGGATGGGCAGAAGGTGCTCAAGGTGGACAACCACTTTGGCAAGCGGAAGAGCCTGGCCTCCATCCGCACATGCATCTCGCACGTGCAGAACCTGATCACGGGTGTGACCAAGGGCTTCGAGTACAAGATGCGCCTGGTGTACGCGCACTTCCCCATCAACATCAACCTGGAGGGCAACGGCACCAAGGTGGAGATCCGCAACTTCCTGGGCGAGAAGCGCGTGCGCATCGTCAACATGCTGGCGGGCGTCAAGTGCGAGCGGTCCTCCGCCGTCAAGGACGAGCTGGTGCTGACCGGGAACGACATCGAGCTGGTGTCTCGCTCCGCGGCCCTCATCCACCAGGTCTGCCTGGTCAAGCACAAGGACATCCGCAAGTTCCTGGACGGCATCTACGTCAGCGAGCGCGGCACCCTGGTGAAGGAGGAGTGATGGGCGTGAAGCCCTGGTCCTCTGCCCCCGCCCAGCCTGTAACGTCACTGCCCTCGGAAGGGGGACAGCGGGGATGAGGGAGAGGGGGGGAAAAGAGGGGATTTGTGGCCGCCGGCGCCCTGACTGCAGCGGCCAGGGTGGGGAGCCGCTGCGACAGCCGTGGATCGTCACAGCAGGTAGACAAGGAGGAAGAAGGCATCGGTGAGGGGGGGGGGAAAGTGGAGCGCGGCTGATCTCTTCATGATCACGCTGGAGGGGATGAGTCATGCCATCCAGCGTGTGGGTCGGACCGAGAATTTACGCTACCTACCTGCTGCCTTCAGCCGCGCGTTCTCAGTGCCGGGCATGAGCATTGGAGCTGTGCGATGCATGCACATGGACTGTGCATTGGATACAGAGAGGTTTCGAGAGCTCGCTGAGGCCGTTGTGCGGGGCCGATCGCGCAGTCCGCCTCGAGGGCCTAATCTGATCACGGCGCAGCTGCAGGACGGGCGGGCATCGACCACCGCCGCGTCCGTCCACAAGACAGCAGGTGTGATGGGACCACAGCCTTTACGATTGTGAAGAAGCATGATTGTCTGACGCACCTCCGGGCAGCTGTCTCTTCCCAGTGCTGCACTGTGGTATCGACCCGTAGTACGTCGACACGCCCCACCGCCCGTGCTCCCCATATTAGTGCAGCGAGGGCCCCTGCTCGATACGTATATTGACAGGGCATCATCTCCCAGCACATTCTACCAGGTTGCCGGGGGAGAATGGGAAGTTCCCCCCCACACTCCCGGCCCCCCTCCGCCGCGGACTCGGTGGGCGACGAGCGGGCCAGCCTCATCCCCCGACGCCACCTGATGTCCTACGTGTCGGAGCCACCCTCCTCCCTGTTCGCCATGGCCAAGCTGGCGGAGGAGGAGAAGGCGCTGGAGCAGGAGGCCCTGCTGAAAGCCATGCACGTCCCGGAGGGACCCCTCCCCCACCTGGGGCCCAGGGCGACCAGCCTGCACCCCGGGGGCGAGGCCCCCGTGCCCCCTGGCCCCCACCTGAGGAGCAATCTGGTGTGGTTCCAGGCTCGCGAGGCCAGCCACTTCCAGGAGCGGGTGCTGGAGCACCCGGTGGCGGGCGACCTGGCGGTGGCAGAGGCGGCCGAGACGGCCGCGCTGCGGGGGGTCCCTCGGCCTGGCTCACGGAGCCCGGGCGCACCCCAGCACAAACCCCCGCCCAAGCTCCCCGCAATGATGCCCGAGAATGGAGCCCCAGGCCACGCCGCCGGCCGCTCGGCCGGCGGGGTCAAGGCTGACCCCGGGCCGCTGAGTCCGAGGGGCCGGGGCGAGAAGTCCGGCGGCCCCAATGGTGCTGGGGATGATGAAGAAGTGGTGAGCTTGGCTGGAGGGGGTTGGGACCCTTGATTGTGGAGGGCCAGCGGGGGCTGCTGGGGAGAGCTCGTTGCCGTCCAGGCACACAGGCAGGAGTCGGGTTGCCCAAGCATGGGGGATGAAGACCCAGAATCGTTGAGCTGTTCCCCCTCCCCCATACTTGCCATGCATTGCCATCTACTGTAATGGGACACGCTCAGTATCCACACCCCTCCCGGCAGGACCCCCTGGAGAACGATCTGGACTGGACGACGGGGAAGCGGCCTGCCCAAAAGTTTTACAAGCGGCGCTGGTTCTGGCTGTATGTCATCCCCCTCTCCATCTCCGCAAGCCTTGTCATCCTGGTGAGGGGTCCGGTAATTGAGGAAGCGACGCTGGGGCCTTTCATCGGGGATGGGTGGTTGCAGGGAACTGCATGTTCACAGGAGGGGTCCCAAATGGCATGGGGGCCAATTTTTAACCCCGCATCCCCTGCCTCCCCATCCTCCCATCCCCAGGGGGCATGCTATGTGCACTTTGCAAGCAGCACTCTCCTGGGGGATGTCCAGCTCTGGAGGCTGCTCTTCTTCCTGGCAGGACTCCCCATCATCTGGTGCGGCGCCTGGGGCTGTGGTGGTAAATGAGACTGAAGATTGTGGCTTGAATCCAGACATCGCAGTCGCTGCCCCCCTCTGTCACTGTATGTCGTTTCCCATCGACCTGCTGCCTCGCCTACTCCCTGCCCACTCCATGCTCAGGTACTTTGGCGACTTTGTGACATGGGCGGCGGTGTGGGGCGTGGAGAAGTCGCTTTTCACTTGGAAGAATGCGCTGTACTTTGCCTATGCCGTCCGGGTGAGGGCGGGGCCTGTGTGGTTTATCCTGGCTGAAGGGGACATGCCGCTGGATAGGAGGGACCACAGCTGTCTGCCCTTCATTGCCCCGGCACATGCCTGTGCTGCCCTGTGCTCCCCCCCGCGTGCAGGCATCTGACGATGCCTGTCTCGTCAGGCCAGGCCCACCTATCAACGTGCCTCGACATTGCGATGTGCTCCTGTGCTAAGGTGTTACCTCAGGCCTCTGCGTCCAAGAGACCTCAGTAACCCTCACAATGCCCTCCCCTGCCACCATTCCACGCAGCGGCCCCTGTCCAACGTCCTGCGTGCCGCCCTGGGGCTCGCGTGGTGGGCGGGGATGATGACCATCGGCGCGGGGGCGCAGCCCTCCAACCTCAACACCGCATACACCATCATCCTGCGGGTGCGGCCGGGTGGGAGCTCTTTGGGAAGATGATGGTTGGGCTGCCAGGGTGCGGTGGTGGATGAGACCCAGTAAGATTGATCCCTTGCCTTGTCAGCTCCACCTCGAGTTGCTGCTTTGACGCGAGGTGCGATGTCGCTTGTGGGAGCGTCTTGCCTCAGCCCCGCTTTCCTTTTTTCATCACAGGTGTGGGCATGCATCACGTTGATGATGACGGCCAACCTGCTAAAAACCCTGATTGCCAAGCTACTCAGCTCCAAGTTTGTCCGCGAGTCGCACCTGGCGAAGATGCAGCAGTCCATCAAGAAGGTGCTTGTGGGGGGCGGGGGGGGGGGTCCGGGTCCCAGTGCAAGCAGGTCGAGTGGAGGTTGGGATGGCCTGAGCTGCATGCTGGCCCTGACATTTATGCGAGGGTTCCCCCCACAAGTACGATGGAGCCATGCCCCCAGTGGACATGCAGCAGACCTGCGTGCAGAAGCATCCCCCTGCGTCCATCGTCGTATGCCCCATCACTCCCAAACCCGCGCACAGGAGCACCTGCTGCACCTGCTGCTCCAGCCCCGGCAGTCCTACATAGACGCCGCCAAGGAGTACGAGGTGGAGGGCCCCGACACTTGGGATGGCGAGGCGGAGGCCGACAAGGCCAGGGACCCAGGCGGCCGCCGCACGCAGAGCGCCTTCTCCCTCAGCCCTGGTGCATGGAGCGGCAAGAAGGGAGGCCTCGCCAGGAGGGTCACCAAGGTGGGAAAGGGGGTGCAGGTGTAGGCATGAGTTTCAACGATGCCCGAGAGAAGTACAGGGTTTGCCTGGCGCATGGAAATTGCCGGATATGGGGATCTTGGCAGACGGGTGATTGGTCCCTCCCGGCTGATTCCCAGTGCCGCTCGCACCGGTAGGCTGGGTGTGCCTGCCCTGCAAACCCCCTTCCTCATCACAAGGACCTCATCATGCTGAGGCTGTAGCGCCCACACCAGCTCGCTCCCCTCAAATCCCCCCACCCCACCCCACCCCACCCCACCTGCCCAGCTCTTTGCCCGAAAGGACAAGCCGGCTCCCGGGCCTGGCGACGATGCGCAGCCCCCGCGCGATCTGGAGAACCCGCCCCCTCCCCGCCCCGCGCCCCGTGCCCAGGCCAAGACGGAGTCGCCAGGCGCCGAGGCCGCCTGGGGAAAGGGCGGGACCCCCGACTCCACGCCACGCGCCTCGCCCTCGCAGACGGCGTCGCAAGCATCGCAGCCCTCCACCCCTCGCCTGGGCGGCGCGCAGCCGGCCCGGGCGCGCCCCGGCGACGCGGCGACTAGCGGGGCCCCCGCCGCGCCGCGCGGCTGCCAGCTGGGCACCGAGCCGACGCTGCGCGTGCGCCTGGGGCCGGGCCCCCAAGCGCTGCGCCGCCAGAGCTCGCGCTCCCAGCACAGCGCGGGCGCCGGCACTCCGCAGAAGGGCCGGCGGCCGCCGCCGGGCGGGGCCGGCGGCGCGCGCCCCTCGCCGGTCAAGTCGGCACACGGCGGCGCGCGGGGCGGCGTTGCCGCGCCCGTGACACGCGCGTCGCAGCTTCTGGACGAGGAAGATGGGGACGGCGCGGCGACGCCGCACCGCCTGAGCCGCCGCTCCGCCCAGCGCACCTCCACCGCCCAGGCCAGGGTGGGTTGGCTGGTGAAATGGTTTTGGTTGGGTTCATGGGAGGGCTGCTGGTGCCCTGGGGATACGACATGCCCAAGGTTTTGCCTGCAATGTGCAGTACGGACAGGGGACATTGCAATGGCTTACCGACGCACCGTCATCAAGCCCTGCCTGCCTGCATGCATGCGGGGCGCACATGGCCTGCGCCCTCTCACCCCCTCCCCCGCTCCGCCCCCAGTACAAACCAAACCCTTGAACTCCAACCTCGGCACAGGCGGCGGTGACGAGCGCGCAGGACGTGAAGCCCAAGAACGTGGCGGGGAGCTCCACCAGCGGCGTGCGGCCGCAGCAGGCCATGCGCCTGGCGCGCATGGAGAAGTACATCCGGCGCAACGCGCTGCAGGTCACCTTCCGCGACGAGCTGAACCAGGCAGAGCGGCGGGAGGTGGTGAACTCGGACCAGGAGGCCAAGAAGCTGGCCTTCTACCTGTTCTGGAACGTGAAGGCCGACTACGGGCGCAGCCACATCGTGGACGCGGACCTGGCGGCCTTCGTCCCCGCGCGCGACGTGCGCCTGGCCGCCGAGCTGCTGGACGCCGACGGCGACGGCGTGATCACCTCCCAGGACGTTTGCGCGGCCATCCTGCAGGTCTTCCGCGAGCGCCAGAACCTGGCCGCCTCCCTCACCGACACCAAGTCGGTGGTGGGCAAGCTGGAGACCATGGTGGGCGTGGTGCTGCACATCGTCATGGCCTTCCTCTACCTCGTCATCTTCCGCGTCGACGTCATGAACTTCTACCTCACCTTCTCCTCCATGATCCTGGCCTTCTCCTTCATCTTCAACCAGAGCCTGCGCATGATCTACGAGAACGCGGTGTTCCTCTTCGTGATCCACCCCTACGACATCGGCGACACCCTGCTCCTGGACAAGCAGGCCTGCCGGGTGGACGCCATCAACCTCACCTACACCACCATGACCGACCCCTCCAACGCGCAGCTGTGGTACCCCAACGAGAAGCTGCGCGCCGCACCCTTCATCAACCTCTCAGCCTCGGGGAACCGGTGCGAGACCCTGGCCGTGGCGGTGGACGTGGACACGCCCCTGGGCGTGGCGGAGGACCTGCGCGCCGCCGCCGCCGCGGTCACGCGCCTGCAGCCCAAGGAGGTGGATGGCGAGCCGGGCGTGGCGCTGGCCGCCTCCCCAGACCCCCTCAAGTACGTGCTGGAGGTGAGCTGGACGCTGAGCCACAACGGCGTGGACGCGGCGCGCGGCGCGCGTCTGCGCAACGCCGTGCACGCGGCCCTCTTCGCCCGCCTGGCGGAGCTGGGCGTGCGCAGCAGCGCCCCGCCCCCTCGCGCGCCCGGGAATGATGCGTACGGCGCGCTGAGGGCGGCGCCGGTTCACGAGGCGGCGCCGGCGCCCTCCAGGGAGGCGACGCAGGCGGGCGCCGCGCAGGCCCGGGCGCAGGCGGGCCTGGCCGCCGCCGTGCAGGCGGCAGAGGCGCAGCAGCGGCGGGGGAGCCCAGGCGGCGCCCTGGAGCGCCCCGTGTGAAACCCTGTGCAGAGGGTGGACGTGGGTATGCCCTGACCCGATCCGACGGCCGCTGCCCCAGCGCCGATATCCTCGCCCCGCTCGCCTTGCGGAGGCCCGCGCAGGTTGCAATTTTCGACCCCCTTGTCACTCTCTGCGTGGCCCCCTTGATGTCCTTGCTTCGTGACAGAATATTTGCTGTCAATCCCCTCACTTTCTAAACCCTGCTCTTGTGGGCGACCTCCCCCCCCCGGGTGGGTAACCGCTCTCACTCCACCTCCTTCGTACTCACGCCTCCTTGGCAGCCTACCGGGACAAGCCTGCAAGCCACACACAACCTTTCACGTACTGCACCTGGCTCCTGCACCCCTCCTGAATATCATCATCTTGCTGTTGCCCCGCCGACTCCCTTGGGACCTGCTCATCGCCCGCTGTAAGCATTCATTACAAGAGGGATGACAGCGCTGTCACCCGTCTGACACTGGGCACCACACTGGAGGCTTCCACTGCGGGTTGCCATTCCCCATCCGACGCTCATGGACACCCCCGTCTCAGCCTTCCTCCACGGCCGTAGGGCTGGTTGCGCTCAGGGCATGAGGGAGTGCTGCACGGACTCGGCGTCGATCTTCTTGGCCGCCTCCGGGAACTCCTCCAAGTACTCGTCGATGGTCATGCTCGACACCTTCTCCTGTGTATGCGGCAGGCAAGGGAGCATGAGCCAACCAAGGCGGTGAGGCAGCAGAGGGGAGGTGTGAGCAAGGGTGTCAACTTCGTGGCAGCATGTTTTTGGAATGTTGTCTGCCGTTTGCATCGCCTTGAGCCTTCTTCGCACCGGCAGACCTCATCCGGCTCAGATCCAAGCCACAACATCCCCTAAGCATCCAGACCCCTCTCCAAATCCCCATGGTAATGAACAAATGACCCACAACCCCGACTCTCGGTGCTCGCCTTGATGCGCTCGGTCTTCGCGACCTCGCGATCGATGTCGGCCACGGCCTTCTCGGCCTCCGCAGACAGGGCAGCCGCCTCCTTCTGGAAGGCCTCGAACTTCTTCCTCACATCCTCGATGGTGGCACTGTTGTCAAACTTGGGCCAGGTGATGCCTGGATGGGGAGGGTGAGACATGTGGGGAACCCTGCAGTGCCTTGCTGGCACCCATAAGGAAAGGGACAGCACCGGAGCAACTTTCGCCACGCACTTTTGAGAGCCTCATCGTGAGCCTGGACGAGCGCAGGGTCGACGTTCTTCCGCAGCTCCGCCCAGTCAATCTTGGGCCCAGCCTGGATTGGGTTGGCAAGAGCGCAGGGGTTCTGGGTCGTGTCCCACTTAGTGGCCATGGGACGGCCATACGGAGATTCTGATAGATGCAGCAGAGGTGCTGGGTGTTACCTCATCCCACATGTGCCCCCCCGCCCACCCCCACCCCCCCACACACATCCTTTTCCCTTCCCCAGTAGTGTGCCTGACCTCGGATGTGATCTCCGCCAACCGTGCCTGGGACTCCAGGAACTGCGATTTGATGTTGGCCAGGGACCTGCGGCCCTCATCGGAATCCAGTAGCGCAGCCACCGCCTCAAAATCAGCGGTGGAGACTGTAGTGGCCTGGGTGGCCATGGCCCTGACGGGGAAGGCCTGCGACGGATGGTAGGGACCAATATCATGGCGAGATACCTTTGCGCTAAAATTCTAAACAATGGCATCCCTCTTACATCTTCTGCGCACCTTGGTGGCCACCCGGTTTACTGCGAAGCGCAGCATGGTGCGGGTTGGCAGCGGACTCCACGCTCTACGGCACTGCTGACGACCCTTTGCACCCGTGTCCCGATGGATCTCGGCGGGTTGATAGCTCGTTCGGGGGCAGCACACTACTCGGAGATGTCGGTTTGAAGAGCTGACAAAGCAGCACGGGTGAACGGGTTTCCGACTTTCCAGTGCTCAACCCCCCCCTGCCGGTCCTCTGTCAATCGTGGACCTCGACTGATGCATGTGACTTGGAATTTGGATACTGCCTTGTTACTGAGGCTGCAGAGCGCGACTTCATGGTAATCCATTGGAGGAGCTCATCTGCGAGTGCTGCCTGCTCCAATGGTGGAACCCCTTGTCTCAATATCCTTGCTGGATCTTCTGGGAACACCGTGAGGTCGGCTGATGCGGCAATCTGACGCAAAGGCTTCTGCATTTCCATCAGTACCTGGAACGAACTCTTTTCTCTTCGAGGGAGCCTTGCACGGAGGTCGAGCTTCATTAACCTGCACATTGGCTGATGCCTCTCAGCCCCCGCTAATGGGAGGGATGATGGCCACCTCGTCCCCAGCCTTCAGCGGCACAACTGATCCACGTTCGAGGTACTCGTGGTTGAGGCTGAACACAAAGCGTCCATCTAGCTCCTTGAGCGCAGGAAACTGCTATGTTTTGTGGGAATGGGGGTGTGATCCGGGATTGCTGATGTGATGCATCAGAGAAAATGTGCCCTCCATGAAGGTTATGCAAGCACCTCCATGGGCCCCCCAATCGGGCTATGGATCCTACATGAGTACATTCATGATCGCCGCAACTGACAGAGCACCGCCTGACCTGTTCTAGGAGATGACTCAGGAGGCTCTCTGTGGTGTCAGCCGCCTGGACGGCTACCGAGGTCTCCGATACGCCGGCAAGCTCACGACTCCTTGCGAAAAAGAGAATCTTGACGGCCATGAACCCTCCGCCTTGCAGTGCGCTGCGCAAGACTGGAATGCTGGAGAGGTCGGGGATCACCGCTTGTGCGAGGAGGGCTCCTTGTATGCAACCCTTCGGACCCTTTTACATTCTAGAGGCATGTGCAGCAGTGGAGGTTGGATCACGTCTCCCAATAAATCGAAGCATAAGTTTCTTCAGTGAGGGTCGTGGGTATCTTCAACGCAGAGGCATGATAGGGGTGCTCGAGGTTGCATGGTGCCGCACGTCTCATGCTGTGTCCTCGGCCCAACCCCCAGCATCCAGGGAAGCTGGCACTGGATCCCTTTCTCATGAGCTTGGCTCCCACAATTACTATTCAAAAACCCCACAGGATGCTACAGCAGGCTTTGTTCAAGCATTGCGCAATCAGCTGTTGGTCTTGATCTGCCCAAACCTCAGCAGGGTGCCATCCGGGTCAGACAGCGCAAACTCGCGCATGCCCCACTGCGTGTCCTGCACCCCCTTCAGGCTGCTCAGGCCCTTCCCCTTGAACTCGTCGTGCAGGGCGTCCAGCCCCTCCACGCGGACATAAACCCCATTGGCATTGGCCTCCGCGTCCAACTTCTCCGAGGAGTTCACCTGGCGCAGGTGCAGCTCCACCGGCCCCAGGGTCAGCAGGGCGTAGTTATCGGCGTCGCCATCCTCGTCCGTGCGGGGGACAAAGCCCAGCTTCTCATACCAGGTCAGGGAGTCCTTGATGGACGACACAGGGACGATGGGGACCGCTCCTAGGATGCGTGGGGTGAGCATTGCAGGTCTGCGAGGAGGCGGGGGAGGGGAGGTTCGGGGAAGTAGGATCTGCATCGATCGCACTGAGGTATTCAGGAGACTGTACAGCCACACCTGGGCGTGGCACTGCATGGTGGGAGCACGACTTAACCTGTGCACCTTCCCTGCACATTCCAGCCAAGTTCACCTGCTGAACTTTGCGATGGAGGAAGCCAGGCCACGGCTGCGAAAGTGTGGGATCGACAATGAGGGTTTGCAAAAGGTCAGAGGGTGAAGTCGCGCTAGGACCGACATTGCAACAACTGATGCGCCCTTGCGTCATGCAGTTGGACATGAGGCAGGGGCGAGGGACCATGCTGTGAATGCTGTGATCTTATGGCTCGGTCCTCTTGCCCGAAGAACTACTCCTCATGCATGCTCGCAGGCTCCTGATGAGAGGGCTGTGCATGCTTTATAAAGACACTAACTAAAGCAGTTTCTTGTTTTTCCGAATTCGAACGAAGCCACAACAGGGATGCCGGGAGCTTGAAGCAATGCAGCTGCTCGGCCCAGTGCCCCAAAAGCTGGGCCGCATCCCCTTCCAGCCCTCGAAGTTTGCGCCCTGGACCAGAACGTATACCCGAAATGCGAGGTCACAAGTCTTCACCAATCCCGCTCAGCACTCCTCCGAGCATGCTTCCAGGGCTCAGCCCGTTTTCCGGCTTGAGGACGAGTTCGAGGTAGGAGGAAGATGCTTGAGTAGACGTTTGTTTAATAGCTTCCAGCAGCTTACACTTTAGACTACCCGTTCTGGAAGCCCCAGAGTGTATCGCAATGAGCATGCGTCAGCCTGACTTCGTCGACAACCTCACCCGCCCACTCAGATAGCTGCGCTGGACGACCCCCTTCCCTGGGAGGAGGGGGACGGCCATGCGGCGCCGACTGATACCAGCGCAGACGTTTTCGTGGAGGATTCTGTGGAGGACTCCTCATACGACTCCTCGGACGACGACGACGGCGAGGACGGCGCGGTGATCGAGGAGGAGTGGAGCGTGAGCGACGTGCAGGTCTCGGACCTGGTGGCCGCGGCCGCCGCCTGTCCACCGCGGCCGCCGAGCGCCTGCTGCGCGGCCGCCGCGCGCCCGACCCCGCCATCTCCGCCCTGGTCCCGCCCGGCGCGGCGCGGCGCCTGACCGCCGAGTCGGCCGACGCGGCGCGCGAGCGCGCGCGGCTGACGCCCGCCGCACTGCGCCGCGCCGCCGATGCGCGGCGCACGCACGTCGCCGGGCTGCGCATCGTGTCCGGGCGCCTGGCGGGGCTGCGCCTGGCCGCGCCGCGCGGCGACGCCACGCGGCCCATGATGGGGCGGGTGCGGGGCGCGGCCTTCGACATGCTGGCTGCGCTGGCGGGGACGCCCGGGCGCCTGGCCCCGGGGTCCACTTGGCTGGACCTCTTCGCCGGCACGGGGGCAGTGGGGCTGGAGGCACTGTCCCGCGGCGCGGCCGGCGCCACCTTCGTGGAGGCCGACGGCTGGACTGCACGGCGCGTGCTGGGCAGGAACCTGGCGGCGGCAGGGGCGGAGGACGCCGCCGACGTGCACGTCGCGCGCGTGGAGGACTTCCTCAAGCGCAGCGGCCGCAGGAGCGCGCAACGACCCTACGACTTCGTCTCCGTCTGCCCGCCCTACGAGCTCGTGGACTACTCGCTCCTGTATGAGCTGCTGGGCGAGTCGCCCCTCCTGCACGAGGTGTGCCTCTGGGGATTTGGAGGGGTTTTTGGTGTGTGTGGGGGGGAGGGGAGACGGGTGGTGTGGGTGGCATGTCATTGCGGCCCCCCACTTGGCCGGGAAGTACTTGAATTGATCAGTATGCAGTCCGCGAGCAGCGCGTTTGAAGCCCAAACCTGGTCAGTCAAACCTGCCTCCCTCGACCACGCAGGAGACGTTTGTGCTGATGGAGTACCCGCTGCGGCTGCGCCACCTCATCCTGCCCACGCTGGGCCCGCTGACCAAGCTGCGGGACAGGCGGTATGGGAGGACCTTCCTGGCGCTGTACGGCCCCGTGCATGCGGACGGTTGATCGACGCTTCCTTCTATGGACCCTGTATTGCGGATGTGGTGTCAAAAGCATCAAACCGTAGTCTGAATGACCTTTGCCAGCACTTGTTTGCCCATTTGTTGCAGAGCAGCATGTTTACTACTCCCACGAACCTCAGAGCTTGGAACAGGCAAGCATCTATCGTTGCCTCTGCAAGGCTGGCTGGTTGACGTGGAGGGCAGTGAGAAACGTGATGCCGATATTCTTGCATCATCTATGTTTTCCTCAATGCAGCTGCCCATGTATCGAGAGGGCCAGCAGTCCACTTCCTAGCTCCTCACTCCTCCTCCAGCATCTTGGCCAGCTGAAAGCGCTGCGCCTCGCGCGCTTTGCCGGCCGCCTTGAGCCCGGCCGCCATGCTGGGGCTGTCCTCCAGCCCCAGCTGGAGGCTGCACACAGCCAGCCGCCGCTCGCCGGTGGCCAGCCGCCGCCTCAGCTGTGCGCGCCGGCCGTCCAGCTGCAGCATGAGGAGCAGAGGGGATTGAAGAAAAAAAGCGGTGCAATTCAATGTTGGTGGTGATAATGCCTCGCACACCAAACACAGTCGGGCCGCACTTCCCATAGTGTCGCTCCCCCGTCTGTTGCAGGCAGCCTTCGCCACCTTGACCCGCTTGCCGCCAGCACACAGCCCGTACCTGCTCCAGGTCGGCCATCAGGGTCTGGGTCTGGGCTGCCACGGGCTGGCCAAGGTCTCGGCTGGCCTCCATCCTGACTGCGTGAGCCTTTGGGCGGTGATGCGGTGGGAAAGGAGGAATGGGGGGTTGCGGGGATGTGGTGGGGAGCTGGGCCTGTTTGTTAGGCAGTTTGAGTGGGAGGACAGATGAGCCACCTGTCGGCATTTTGCCTGCTGCATGGCCTGCTGGGAGAGGTGGGGGGCCAAGCGATGCATGCGCTCCCAATTTGCATCACAAGAGGTCTGCTACCTGCAGCAGTTCCTCGAGCCGTGCCCACGGCTTGGGCATCGCCAGCAGCGGGGTATCCTACAGGGTCCAACGGTGGGAACCTGGGATGTGTTGCCAGCCCGAACCCCACCCCCATCTCACCCCGCCCATGCAGGCAGGACCTGGTCAGAGGCACGCCACCCAGTGACGGTCTGCTCACCACGCAAGGGGGGGCCGCGGTCTCAGCTGGGGCGGGACGCTTGCGGGATGGCGGGTCCTTGCACCCACCGGGCAGCCCCTCTCCGTGCTGCACATGGGGGGGGTGCACATGTCTGACCTGCCCCTGAGCATGGTGCCATGGCACGTTCCCATCCATGAGCAGGCTGCAGAGACGCTACTTCCAAGCAGCCCATCCCGGTTCCCAGCACACGTCGACGTCTCCATCTTCGACTGATCTGTTGATGCCTCCTCGTGCCCCAGGTGGGCTGACCAGAGGGGCCGGTGGGCCTTGATGCTGGGTCTCGTGTGCGTCGTCCATCCCCTGCACGCAGGTCTCGCCGGTCAGGGGCAGGAGCTCCACTGCACCACCGATCAGTGCATCAGGACCCAGCTCCTCTGCATCCAAGCCATGGCATGCACCCTCTTGGCGAGTTGATGGAGCCGCTTGCTGAATGCTTTGAAAAGCAGGTGGAGTTACTGCCAGCCGGATCCCACCATGCTGAGTGAGTGGGGAACGATGCTGACTCCCCTGCAGTACCTGTGTTACTGGATGGGGAGCGAGCCATTGACTGGTTCTGCGGTAAGATCAAATTCGTACAGTGGTAGGACAAATAGCTGTGCAGGTGGTGGGACAGATCACTGCGCCATAGGTTGAACCCCTGCACTCAATTTCATGCAGGGTGCGCGGCTAGAGTTGCGGCCAAGGTGAATATCAAGCCGTCTGTTTAGCTTTGGACATCAACCCAGAGTCTCAGGGACCCACCTTGGTGGGGACACTCGCAGGGATGCCACTTCCAATGGTGACTGGGGGGGCCAACTCGTGTTTGCCTACGCCTTTCCAAGCGCGCAGGAAGCCAGTGCGTGCCTGTCAACATGCATGGATGGTGACTCCCACGGTGCTCTTTAACCTCGCAAGCAAGCTCGCGGAGGAATCATGGATCTGCTCTGGAGTCGACCACTGACTGTGGCCTATGCCTATCGCCACCACACCTTGATCCAAGCCGTAACAGGAGCGGAGAGCTTGGGCTCAGGTACAGGGGTTGTCGAGTCGTTGTGTAGTGCTCCAGTCGATTGCTCATGGCCCTCGCCATCCATGCTGTGGATCCTGTGTAATGATGTTTGAGGAGTAGGGCGGGTGTGAGTAGTCAGCACAGGAGAGGGTATGACTGAGCGGTATGCATGGCCTCGAACAGCACATGCCACGGGCACGAAGACAAGCCGATGGTACATACCCGACGCTGCGACTATTTTCCGTCATTTTCTCTGCGGTTGGGAAATGGCAGGGCCAGTTGATGAAGCAATTGTGGACATGCCAATCAGCCAGCCGGTGCTCATGAGGATGTTACCCAACATCACGGGGACAAGCAACCCATACCTCTACAACGCTAGCACGTCCCTTGGAACTAATCTCATGAGGTATTTGCTTTGTATCTGTTTACGAAATGGACATGAGTCTTGAATTTTTCTCTCGTTCATGATAGCGGGGTGGCTGCTGACTTCGAATTCTTCCCGGATCGAAAGATGAGCAACTGATTTACAAAATTGCAGATGTACACTCCAGAGGTACACACTCCCATTCACATGCTTCCAAGGGGGTAAGAGGCAACATGAACATTGGCAAGAGACTCGCTTACAAAAATACAACACGATGAGGCATGCAGGGTACTGGGAACTGCAACAGCGAGGCCATCCCTAGATGTACGAGAACACATCCTCAGTCCGCTGCAGGTCGACGGGCACCACCACCTCCGTGTGCCGGTGGCGCAGCTGCTGGGGAGGGCTGTAGCTGGCCAGGAAGAACACCTGAGAAAGGGAGGGGGTGGAGAAGGCGCCAAGCACAGGATGGTTGGATTTTGAGACCAGTAGCATCTTTGGGGGGCTCAAGGGCTACCATTCTCTTGGAGGGATAGCATTCCGAGGAATGGATGTCTATGTCAGCCGTCCCTCCTCCCTTTCCCAACATTATTCCCCATATCTCACCTCTCTGTGGAACCGAATGTCAGACTCGGAGTCCTCGAGGGCTCTCCACAGACTGCGCAGCTCCCGCAACACCTTCCAGGGCTTGGGGAATCCGCTGAAGGACCGCACCGCCACAGAGTACTCGGATGTCTTGACCAGACGCACATTCGTGCCATTGCTGGGCTTGGGAGCCTTGCCCTGTGGGGAGGATGGACGCCATTGAGGTGGAGTCCAGGCTCTGCAGCCCCTCTTAGGTGCTTGGGAGTGGCAACCAACCATTCCTCCATTCGATACTCGATATCCGAAGGCGGGGTTGCGGGTGTATCCGCCCCATCAGGCTTTCGTGCTCCAGCTCAGCACAGCCCTGATCCCTCACCTGGAGGTCACGGGGGATGTAGAGGGCAAACACGTAGTCATGCTGACGGTGGCGGCGGTGGTGAGGAGGGTCCCCGTCGCGCCCATGCTTGCGATGGTGGTGGCCGCCATGCTCATGGAATGGGAGGTGGAAGGCCTGAACAAAGGGAACGGTGCCCTCGATCGTCTGGTTGGCCTCGTTCGCGCCAGCAAAGTAACTCACGAGGTTCTGGGTTTTGAGTTGGAGGGGGGCAAGGGAGATGTCTTGAATGACGTCGGCCACCCCGCACAAGAAGCAGACTCAGTACAAGAATGCACTCATGGGGCCGGGCACAGCCAAGAGGTCCCAAGTGTAATCCTGTCCAAGAAGACAAAATGAGATGCGCTATGCCCTTCACACCCCAGCCTCACCCCGATGCCGGCGAACAAAGCGGCGATGGGCTCATGCTCCTTGCCAACAGTGGTCATCGCCCATTCCGCAGCCTCATAGGTCCGCAGCTCGAAGCCGTCGCCATCATGCAGCTCCTTGTAGCGTGGACACTCCTTCTCACTGCGAATTCAGGATTCGGCGTCAGATGCTAGGATTGATCGCTCATGCACACCCTCCTCTGCGCCGCTCCATCACAATGCGGGCCTGCCGCATGGAATCGATCGTGGCTATTGCGGTCGCGTCACGGCATGTACAACAATGCATCCACGCACTTGCAGAATGACGGAGGTTTCCATTCGATCGGACCGGAGGAGTCCCCCTGGCGTGCGGCATCGGAACTACCACACGCCTGCAGCGCGATGGCCGACAGAACTAAGAGGACTCGGCACATCGACCCCATAGCGAATATATACCGGGGAATTGGATGAAGGTGTATGATCTGATTTGCACCGCCACAAGCGTGCTGGATGATAGGTCGGGAAGCTGGTCGCCTGCCCAGCTCCCATGACGTCATGAACTTCTTCAAGCGCGCGAATCCGCTGCCACGGCTTCCACCCAGCTACCTTCGATTCCTCCATCAAGTTGCCTCCGTCAGACACAGAGCTACACAGAGGGGCAAAATTCATATCCTACGAACAGTTCCCAAGCAGTTTGAGATTTGCAGGGGTTTATAGCAATACGCAGAATGTCGAGCACGACTCCCTCCAAAGGTGAGAGCGTCGTGGAACACGAATCCACCCCCCTGGCTCGATGCTAAGTGGGACCGACTGCAACGCATATCCTGCTTCTACATGACCTTTTACAGCTCGATATCGTGCAGGGTCTGGAAAGACTGCTGAAGATGCGGCCACTGCCGCCCGCTCCAGCGCTCCCGCTGCAGGTTTGTTGGTATAATGATCGGGCTTAAATCGAACATGTGTTTGTCTGTGCCAGACACCATCCCACGCGGTCGAGACGCCTGAACATTCACGTTTGACATTCATTTCTAGGTGGAGACCATGCTGAGGCGGTGACGGGAGTCGCAGGCCCCGCCGGTGCCGTGCTCCATGACGGCCTAGCTGACACCGGAGCGACATTGAAAGAGCTGAAGGATCAGGGCGTTGCAGGTATGCAATGGAGATGCTAGGGATGCTCATGTGGGTGGTTGTCATGAGTGGGAGGGTTCTTCATGGGTGACAAGTCATCTCTTTCATAGTATGCGGATGGTCCATCTGCCATGCACACTCGCTTACAAGGTCCCTTCACTGCCATGTACAGACCCAAAATTGGGCAAGTGAACAGCATTTAAATGGCATGTGAGTCCTTCAGCGTGGCAGCTACCCTGAATATAGCCATCATGAGCGGCTAGCGCTTGGTGTAGAGGTACCCTGAAACGTCACGCCCATTTTGCCATCGGGCAAGGCCGCCACGGAATCCCCATCATCCTACCTCCAGCTCTCTGTGCATCTGAGTTTGTAACCCATGTGATTCGCTCTCACACAAAGAGCGTGAGCAAAAGGGCGAGTGCAGGCATCCACGCGACCCCCGGCGAAAACCAGAGGGAGGAGGGGCCCAGAAAGGCGGGCATGCGCCTGTACAGCAGCACCGTGTTGAGCGCCACGACGCCGCAGAATGCCAGGCCCTGGGCCGCTGTCACCCGCAGGAGGGGCAAGGGGGCGTCTGGCCTGGCAGTTCGGGCAGGCGTCCCCCTGCCCGCTCCCGCGAGGGGCTGCCGCTCCTCCTCCGTTGTGCCCTTGCCGCCCACGCCTTCCCTGCTGCCGCTGCGCCGCCGCATGGCAGACAGCCTGGACCGACGGGCGGGGGAGCCGCCGCTCTCGCCGCAGCTGTCGCTGCTGCCGCTTGGATTCTGAGCGGGTTGGTCGCTCTCCACGGGCCCCAGCGCCGCCCGTCGCCTGCCCCGCAGCGCCCTTCCCCCGACCACGCAGGACACCCAGAGGAGCAGAGGCAGGGCCCCCGTGAGCGTGTGCAGGAGCCCCACGAAGAAGGGGTCGGGCGTGGAGAGGACGAGGCGGCCTCCCTCGGGCAGCAGCGTCGCCACACCCCCTGGTAGCAGGAGGCCAGGGGGTGCATCCCCCAGCCACCTCCCCGCCGCCCAGGGTCCGAGCTGGAGGTAGGATGCATACACCAGCTGGGAAAGTGGGAAGGAGGGTGGGGACAGAGTGCTGTAGTCGATGCTGTCAATTCAGCGGGAAAGTGGCACTCACCTGTGAACTTTGACCCCCCCCATGTCACTCCTACGATCGCCCCACACACAGAAGGCACATGTGCGTGCGGTGTGAGCCTGCGCCCTTTACCCACCACCCTAGCCTCATCACAGGCTCAGGAGAGCGGCAGAGCCTCCACAAGCGACCCCAGCCTGCCCAAGAACCTCACCACTGCGGTCCAGGCGCGGGTGTGGCCGGCAAGCAGGACCAGGGACGCCAAGGGCCAAGTGAGGGCCCCGGCCAGGGCCTGGCCCCAGGTCGCAGGGCCGGCATACAGGGGGCTGGCGGCGATGCGCTCACCCCAGCCCCTGGTGTGCAGGAACCGGGGTAGAATGAGGCCGCCCAGGACGATGCCCGCCCACGCCAGAGCAAACAGCCTGTGGTCGTGTGATAGAGAGTGAGGGGTTGGCAGGAGGGTGGGTGCAAGTGAGCAGGGCATGCCGTCGATCAAGGGACTGTTGACGGGATGACCGGCCTACAAACTGCAACCCTGCGGCCTTCCTCCGATCAAACGACGCCGCCACTTCCCACGCACCGGAAGGCCAGCACCGCAAAGTCGACGCGCAGGCCTATCGTTTCGAGGAGGCCGAGGTCCAGGGGCAGCGGCTCGGGCAGGGGAGCAACGGTCCAGCCGCCGCCGGCGAGGCGCTCGAGACGCACGCGTTGACGTGGCGAGGCCCCGCCCCCGCCCGGCGCGCCGCCGGAGACTTCGATCTGCAGCCAGGCCCGGTCCGCGGTCCCGGGGCAGCCCCGGTCCAGCCGCACCACGCCCTGGAAGAGCGTCGGGCCCGGCGCCTCCGGCTCCAGCGCCTGCAGCGCCTGGCGCGCCAGCTCCACGTCAGGCCCACTTCCCCTGGCGCCGCACGTGAGGCGGGCGTGCACCAGGCCCGGCCCTGCGCCCTCCAGGTCGTACACCAGCGCTCGGACGGTGCCCCGGTCAAAGGGGAGCGCGGCGCGGGCGTGCTGCGGCACGGGCGCGTACCGCGCGTCTGGGGGGAAGGTGATCAGGGCGGCGGCGCCATGGACTCTTGCGCTGGCATCCAAGGCTGTCACGCCCCAGCCCCGCCGCCTGTAGGCGACTGCCCACCCTGAGGCAGGGTTTGGGGGAAGGTGAGGTGTCGTGAGAAGCGAGACAAGTCCTGCACGGCATGGGACAGAGGATGCATCCTCTGGAGAGTCCGACCGTGAGCAAGCTGATGGACCTGGGAGGACTACGGCGATCCTCGTCGCAACAGGCAGACGTGAGACCCCCGGCTCCTCCCTCCCAGCCAGGGATTCCCCCGTGGTGAGGGACGTGCAGGACCAGCCTCCCACACGCCTGGCGCCGTCGAGGAACTCACCGGGGTCAAGGCGGGCGGCCGCGTCCGGCCTGCGAGGCTGCCCGGGGCTGCCGGGGGCATGGAAGAACAAGTCCTGGAAGGACAGGAGCCCGCCGTCCACGGCCAGCAGGCGGAACCTGCGGTCGTCCTTCCACGCCGCGGTTTCCAGCTCTGCCAGGTGGCCGCTGGGCCCTGCGATGGGGTTGTCCATCCGCAAAAGGGTTTTGGTGTCTGCCTCTCGGGCCCGCCACGCTCCTGGGCACCCGGCGCCAGGCCGCCTGATGTGTGCTACACGTTGCAATGGGACAGGGCATCCCCACCGCTCCCAGCGAACTACGCTCGCACCCTGCCGCACCTCCCCCCCCCGCGTGCATGGCGTGCAGGCGCTGCCCAAAGGCGCCGTGCAGGTGCCCGGAAAGGTAGGCCGTCACGTTCAGGCGCAGCAGCTCCGCCAGCAGGCCCGTGGGCTGGAGCAGGGGCCGGGCCAGGCGGCGCAGCGTGCCCAGCGGCCAGGCGCCGGCCTCTGTGTCCACCGTGCTCAGCGGGTAGTGGCCAAAGGCCACCACCGGCGGAGCGGGGGAGGATGCCGAGCAGCGTCGGGGCGGCGCCCCGGGGCCCAGCCACGCCGCCTCGGCGCCGCCGCGCAGCGCGCGCAGGAGGCTGGGCCCTGCGACGCCCACGAAGTTGGAGGGGCTGCGCAGGCCCACGCGGGGCGCCAGGTCCAGGCTCAGCAGGACGACGGCGGGGCAGGACCCGGCTGAGTGTGCACAGAAGGGAAGAAAGGAGGGGGGGGAGGGGTATGAGAGGTTGACGAGAGAGGATTGTTCACCAGCGCCATGGGGCGTAGGTGCGGAAGACGCGGCGAGAGGGGAGATGGAACATGACCGAAACACCTATCCCTGGCGGTCCTTGGTGTGGTGCCCTGCTGGCCTCTGAAGCCCTCTGGCCCTGGCAACGCGAGGCGGCCGGGTAAAACACTGCACACGCCCCTGCGCGTGCGGCCCTCACCCCTCTAGCTTACACCATCCCACCTTGCTGGTCCGGCTCCGACGCCCACAGCGGCTGGGCATAGACACGCTGCGCCGGGTCCCGGCGCCGCGCCGACGCCGCGCTGGCCGCGAAGAGGTCAGCCGCGCCGCCACGTCGGGGCACGTCAAACGTGTCGTGGTTGCCGCGCACGTCGTGCACATCGGGCACCCCCGCGGCCTCGACGTCTGCCAGGAAGCTGCGGTAGCTGGCCCACTCCGCGGGCTGCTGCTGGCCCCTGCCCCCGGCCTGTTTGCCGTCAGTGAGGTCCCCCGTAACCAGCAGGGCTCGGGGGCGGAGCCGGGGCAGCAGGTGCGCCGTGAAGGCGCGCAGGTCGCCCTCCCGGTCGCCGAAGGCGGCCCAGGCGCCGGAGGAGTTGGGGGCGGCCAGGTGCAGGTCTGACAGCTGGAGCAGGGTCACGGGAGGGGGGACAGCAGCACCTGGGATGGGAAGGCAAAGTTGGGGTGGGGGTGAAAACATTCAGGAGCAGGGGAGCGTCAGGCATGCATTCAGCAGCTGGGCATGGGGGGTGGAGGATGCAGTGGAATGGCACATATTCATCAATCCAGATCCCTGTTCATATCCTGAGGTGCACGCCATGCTCCACGGTCGTCGTGACACCGCACATTTCAGGCACACCTGCGACCAGTGCGAGGAGCCAAGTCCCGACGAGGAGGTGGGGCAACCTGCTCATGAGATCACTTCCGAGCGCCTCACCCAGACCTCGGGCAGTCACCGTAGATAAGCCACCATCGCGATCTGCTTGATATTTGTGATGGTGTAGTATGAATGGAACAATGCTACGCTGAGGATCCATTCTCTTATGTGATGCCACGAGCAAGCATCTGGGGTCCCGGAGGCACTGGAGATGCCTCGCGCCCCCCGTTCAGAAAATATCGCTTGGACAGCGTTCGCCGTCCTGTGACTCTGTCAGGAACCCTCTATAGTTTTGATTGATAATGTCAGTACTTGTACTGTACGCCTTCCCTTTTTTGGCCTCCGTTTACCATCATTCCCACCCTGAACAGGGATTGGCAGCAGCATGAAAGCCTCCATTTCCACTCCAGCACCTGCAAGTGTCAGACCTTGCCATGGCGCATGGTTGTCTGGAACGGTGTTCATTGGGTGGAATCTGCGACCTCGTTCTGTGAACAGCATCGCTGCATCTCAGGAAATGACACTGCACCCCCCCCTGGACATGCCCCTTGGCCGCCGGGACAGACTCCATCGCCATTCCATTTAGGGCGAATAGAGAATTAGCAACTTAAGCCTGGCAGTCTCTGTATTGTTCAGGCGGATATTCTCAGCTCAACTCTGGACCGTGCCCCGCTTGCCCCTGTTCTCGACAAAGCGACACTGCAAACGCAACAAGGGTCCCAATTCAAGGGCAGCAGACGCCCAACCTTTCAACAATGCACTCGTTAGATTTGACACATCCACCTCCAAGAGGACAAATTTTGCAGAGTGTGGAGGTCATCCCTCATAGTCGGAAGCCAAACCCTCGCCACCCGGGGTCGATCTGGGCTTCAAGGCCCCTCGCCTACCCACACGCACCGCTCGCCCCGACTTGTCCCTCTCGAAGAGTATGTGTTGGGTGTAACATGACGGTAACCAAAGAGCAGTTCTAGGGGCAGGTACAGGTAGTAAGAAGGGGAGCAGAGCGATAACGAGAGGGGGGTTTTGGGAAAAGGAGGTTCGTCGCAAGAAGCCATGGAAAAATTTGCTGGCACTTGGGCTTCGCGCGTTCAAATACCGCGACACCAGGTCCAGTCCTCAGAAGTCCAGAGCACGCTGGTAATAGTTTCGGTGCGACCGCGGGATGACTGGAGGACATACAGAAACCTGCGTCGCGGGCCGCTGCCTACGCTGCGCCGGAGCGGGAGGGCTGCTCACCAACGGCCGCATGAGGACCACTTCAACCTCCAAAGCCTCGTTGCTGTGCTCCGAAGAAGACGCCATCCCGCAGTGGGGCTCGTTCCAGCTCCGTCCGTCTGGTGACGCGGTGAAGTTATAGCTGAAGTCGGGGTGAACCACCACGATGGGTATCGGGCTGGAGGCCTTCGAGTGGGTCTGAGTCGCCATATTGACTGATCTCCGGCTGTCCATGGGCGGGGTGCAGCGTGTGAGGCGGGGCGACTCGGCCGGTGTAGTTTATGGGAAGCGAGAGCCCGGGGTACGGCGACGATGCGGGGTGACGTGGACCGGTTGCTGCCAAGGGGGGGTCAACGGCCGACCGGGGGGGTGCGTACTTTCGCCATCAGACGGAGATAATGCATTCCCAAACCATGATTTGACTGCAGTGAGATGGTTGGCCACAGTCACCACGGGGATTATGCGCTCCGGAATATCCCGAAGCGGCAGCGACGTCCCGTACATAAGATTCCTCAATCGGAAGCCTGGCGCCCTCACGGTGAAATTTGCCAAGCAACAGCACCCGACGCTCTCCCTTCTGGTGTGAATGTGTTGTAGGCAGACCAAGACCTCTTCATCAGTCGCAAACCCTCATCACGAGGGTCGACCGATGAGGTCAGGGCTGTTTTTGTCGGAGGGATGAGGCGTGGTGTGGAACCCTGAAAAGAGGGCTGCAGCAGGTGGCCCCAGGGCCCCCCTCCGATGGACGTCACAGCGTCCATCGACAGTATTGGATTCGGGAGGTTCCAATGGTTGCTCCTCGCATACACGGGGCTGGCATGGCTGGCCGACGCCTGCGAGACCATGCTGCTGTCGTTCCTGGGCCTCGCCGTGAAGTGAGGCCCGGCGTGGGCAGCTGGGAGGGTGATTTCTTGATTGGGGGCGTCCGAGATCTGATCCAAATGAGCTGGGCACGCGGGATTGATGTTTGCCGCCGATGCAGACTGGCCCGCTGAGCGTGTCTGTTACCACCCCGCCACCCGAAAAGGTGCGACTGGGGCCTGACCTCGTCGCAGGCCGCGGCCCTGACCAGCGTGGTCTTTGCCGGGATGATGGCCGGGGTATACACCCTCGGCGCCCTGGCCGACCAGCTGGGCAGGCGGCGCGGCTTCCTCACCTCGGCCCTGCTCCTGGGCGTAGCGGGCCTGGCCAGCGCCTTTTCCCCAAACTACTCGGTGAGACGCAGCAGGCGTGCACTTTCCCCCTGGCATGGCTGAGGGGGTGTCGACTCTGATGCGTGTCCCACCACACCATCGGTCCAAGCCCCCCCGCATGCGCCGCAAGGGGTCTCACGTCTGCTCCATTTGCTCTCGCATCTGCCTTGATGCTCTCTCCCCACATCTCCCTGCACCCTTGGCTGCCTCTCTCATCGCTCAGAGACAACCTTCCCCCACAATCCCCACCCCACCCCCAAAAGGTGCTGCTGGGCCTGCGCTGCGTCGTGGGCTTTGCGCTGGGCGGCACGCCCATCGCTGTCACCCTGTTTGCCGAGTTCCTGCCCAGCCGCGGGCGCGGCGGCTGGCTCCTGGCGCTGCAGGCCTGGTGGACGCTGGGCACGGTGGTCATGGCCTGCATCGCCTGGCGCACCGTGTCCACGCCCGGCCTGGGCTGGCGATGGATGCTGGGCCTGGGCTCCGCGCCGCTCTTCCTCCTGCTCGCGCTCTACCCGGCGCTGCCGGAGTCGCCGCACTGGCTGGCCAGCCGGGGGGAGGAGGCCGCGGCGCGTGCCGTCCTCCTCCGCGTCGCTCGGACCAACGGCCGTGCCGGCGCCGGCTGGGCGCCGCTGCCAACGCGGGACGCCGGCGAGGCGGGCGCGGGGGTGGTGATCGGGTCGTGGCCCGCGACGCCCGACGCCACCCCGCCCCCGACGCCCGCCAAGGCGGCGCGGGCGGGTGGGGGCTGGGCGCAGCGCTGGCGCGGGTGGCGGCCTCGCTGCGCGCGCTGTACTCGCCCGAGTTCCGGCGCACCACGCTGCTGCTGGACGGCATCTGGTTCACCAACGCCATCACGTGAGGGAAAGGGGTGTGGGATGGGGAATGCATGGGAGTGGGGTCGCGCGGGAGGAACGTGGCTGGAGGACGGGGCGCAGGAAGCCGTGGGCGCAAATCCAGGACAGCAGCAGCTGTGGGTCATCTACACCGCGACTCCCTCACGCCAGACGGCCCCCCGCGCCACATTGTCTCACACATAACAGGTACTATGGGCTGGTGCTGCTCAGCACGGAGCTGCAGACGGCACACAAGGAGGAGCAGTGCACGCCAGATGGGCAGCCCAACCTCGTGGGCCGCGACTTTTTGGTGGGCGCAAGTGCAGGAATGAGGGGGGTTCATCGCACCGGCCACCCCGCCGGGACTCGAGGTCGAGTGCCATCACGGGCCTGATGAACTGGCTGCCATGTGAGGCGCTGGCAAGCTCGCCCTGGCACATGCTCAGCCCGCAGTGATCGCTGCCCAGGGTTGCTGACTGCGTACACCTCCCGCTCACCCCAGCCCAGCCCACTCCCTCCCCGCCTGCAGAACATCGTGATCACCAGCGCTGCAGAGGCCCCGGGCCTGCTGGCCATCGCCTTCCTGGTGGATGGCCGAGGCAGGAAGTGGAGCCTGCGGGCCGGCCTCCTGCTCACCGGCCTGTCCATCCTCCTCCTGCTGGCGGCGGGGCCGGGGGGTGGGGCCCAGCTCTTCATGCTCTTCCTGTCACGGGCGGGGATCATGGGGGCCTACTCAGTGCTGTACATCTACACCCCGGAGATCTACCCGACAAAGGTGGGCGGCGTGTCTGGTGGCGAGTGTGGGGTCCGGATGGACCCGTGGTCCGCGAGCACCACTGGGGAGTCGAGAGACCCCCAGTGATGCCTTCCCAAGTATTCATGCCTTTCCCAGTACCATCGCCCCTCCCCACCTCCGACCCCACAAAAAAACACCCTTCCCCATCCAACAGCTGCGATCCTTTGGGCTAGCCCTCTGCAACGCCATGAGCCGGGTGGGCGGCTTTGCGGCGCCCTACGCCACCGTGTCCCTGGTGGAGTCGGGGCGCCAGACCGCCGCGCTGTGCCTGCTGGGGGGCATGTGCCTCCTGGCCTGCGCCGCCGCCTTCTTCCTGGAGCACGAGACGCGGGGGCGCGACCTGCAGGCCGTGCGCCTCTCCGGACCGGAGGCCGAGGATGAGGCCCTGGATGGCACGCCGGTCGGCGCCAGCCCGGCGATGTCGGCCGAGCTGGTGCACACGCCCCGCCCGCCCTCCGGGGCCCAGGCCTCGTGACCCCGGGGCGGCGTGCCAGGCGAGGCGCTGCCGTGGGCCTGCCACGTCGACGGCTCAGAAACATGTCGCGCCCCTGGTGAGCCCCGTGCCCCTGCGCCATCTGCTGGACCTTGCGGATGCGCTGGCCAGTCTCATCGACATTTCATGTTTCCCAGACACGACACACAGCTCTCCTGTAAGCTCTGCTCTGAGGCCTTGGACAAGCCCATGCCCAGGCTAGGAGGAGGGTAACCAGGAAAGAGGACCGGTGTGCCGCAGCAAGGGTCTGTTGAGCAATACACTGATGCAGGAACTCCAGCCCTACACATGATGCTCCCGCTCCCAGCCCAGGAGCCAGCCGGCTGCCCTTGTCATATGTCACTGCGGCCCCAGCGACGAATTCAAGCCCAGGTAGAACAGGCCCACTCCAAAGAAGATGAGCACCGCCACGAGGATGAGCACTCGCCGGATTATGCCTAGAGTATGCATGGACGGGTGGAGGTGGCATGAGGAGGGCGCTGCAACCCTTACTCAGGCCTCATGCAGTGGAGTGTGAACGCTGTCTGGCATCCCTGAGATTGGGGCCACCGTCCTCTTGGGCCCGCCCACCAACCACCCACCCAGGACGCTCTTGTCGATGCCCTGGATGTCGGTGCTGAGCATGTCCGAGACGTCACGCTCCAGAACGCCGCTGGGCTTGGGGCCGCTCCTGGTGGGGGAGGAGAGCAGGGAGTGAAGGCCGGGGCGCGCTGCTCAGTCAGGGCACCTGTCCATGCACGCGCTGTACCCAGCACGGAGGGCAGCGTCTGCAGGCACGGGCCCCTGCCTCACCAGCTCCCGCCCGACTTCCCGCCCGACTTCCCGCCCGCCTCCCCGCTCGCGCTCCCAAACTTGGGTGGCGAGGTGGCCGCCGCCTTCTTCTTCTGGCCCTCCAGGGTCGCCAGGATGAACTTCTCCAACTGGCGCTGCACCTGGGGCGAGGCCTGGAGCTGCACCAGCCTTTTGTCCCCGGACTCCAGCGCCGCCAGCAGGTCCAGGCCTTGGCCCACCGCCTCTGGGAATTGGACAAACGGGGAGTTTGTGGATGTGTACTGGCATCAGCTGCGAATAGGGCTGCTGGGGCACGCGAGCAGCGGCGTGCCCGGACCAGGCAGGAGGGGGCCGACTCCTCCCCGCATCCCACCACCTCCAGACATTGCCCCAAACAGCATGCGCACCTCGCATCGCCACCTGCGCCGGCTCCACGTCGCCGAAGTAGGCGTGCACGCACGCCGCATTGTAGGCCATCACCCCCCTCTCCCCAGAGGAAGCACCCTTGGACGCCATGCCGGCCTCCCAGGCACGCAGCGCGCCCATCCTGTCGTTCTTCTCGTACAGCTCGCGCCCCTTGTCGAGTGCCTGGTGGAGGGAGGGGAGGGGAGTGGCTCCTTGCCTTGGTCCCATCCTTTGGTGAGCAGCCCCGGCGCCGAGCGCAAGAGGGGAACCGCAACACCTTGCGCCAAGCCATGGCCGCCATCCATGCACATGACGTTTTGCAGAAGACCTTCAGTCTACGAGCTTCACCTCGGCATTGGCGCGGGTCATGATGCGCCGACTTCCTGGATGTGGAGGCACAGACCCAGAAGCTTGCATGCTGCGATCACGAGAAATCTCGGCACACAACGAATGCGACATGTCGCACTGCAAACACTACAACGCCCAAAACGCAATGTACCTTGCAGTCGTCTGCATCGCGTGCCTATGTGCAGACGGCCTTGCAAATGGGCTGCAGTTCTGAGATTCGAAGTGCCCGGGCATGGCCCGTTCATGCACAGAGGAATCCCTCGCATGGAGACAGACGGGTGATCCGCTCGAGCACGCCTGGGGTACACAGCAACATGCACCAATTAACCTTCTCAGCATCATGCAAGGACGAGTTGACGCCTGCCCCAGGCCGCTCTGCGTCTGGCCTTACCCAGGATCCCGTTAGGTGGAATGCGGGACTGCCCACTGTTTTGGTAGAGATCACTGCCGTCCAGCAAGTCCTATTTCCGACATCGAGAGCACAGCAGCAACTTTGTAATGTTCACCCATATGCATTACATGCATGCTCGCATTCAGCGCGATCAGCGCCGATCTCATCTCTTCCATGCCTGTCCCAATGACTCCCGACATGGACATGCAGAGCACATTGATTGGCATTCAAAGGACAGCCTCTGTCTAATTGTATACAAATGCACTGTTTGTGCTGGGCGTGCATGTTGTCGAGATTTTCAATGTCCTGCGCCTGGCGGCGACATTCTACAGAGAATACCCTGCTCGACGACACTTCCGCCATCGGCCCACTTCCGATACCCACGGAAACCTCGAGACTTGTCATTGTACGTGGCAAAGTGCTGCTCAGTGGCACACGCACTCCGGGCCCCCCCACACGATCCATCGCTCGTTGGCAGTGCTGGGCGTGTCGAGCGCACGCCCGACAACGTTAGCAAGGAGGGGACGGCATAAGGCTTTACAAGCCATCACGCCTCAATTCACTGCGTAAATGATGTGGATGCCTTCATATTAATCCACTAAGGGGGTGTAATGGGTCAATCGGAGAGGCAGGGATCGCCTGGGGGGTCCCGACGCCGGTCCTCGGTGGGTGTACCCTCGCGCCTGGGCCCTGCAGCTCAGGCCAGGCGTACCCAGGGCCTTCCGATCAAAGGATGGAAACGTCATGGTAATGTGGGATTAGAGTTGCAGGCTCTCCTTCCACCAGATCGCACCCATGCAGACATGGACCTCCAGCCCACCCCACCCCCCTCCCAGGCTCGATCATCGCTGCCGTGCTCGCCATTGGGCTGGCCCTGGGACACCGATTCCTCTGGCATGAAAGACCAGTCTCGAAATGTGAGTTGGGAGGGCTGATCCATGTAATGTCAAGCCCAGGGTGGTCCTGGGATATTGCAGTCCATGAGCGCCCTCTTCATCTCGTCCCTGCAGGGCCCAACCTGGTGCCCTTTCCGAGCCCCAAGCTGCTGGACCTGCGACAGTTCAAGGGTAGCCACGCAGAAAAGTACCTCTGGGGAACCTACCGTCCAGGGTATTACCTCGGTGAGGATGGCGAGGGGGTGTAGCTGGTTGGGTGCTCTGTGAGGACCAAGCAGCACCGCCTGCCCCTGCCATCACGGCACTGAAGCCAGGCGCTGGGTTCAGACGGCGTGTTTCAATGTGCCGGCATTGACTATCGCCCTCTTCACCTGCAATCCTCCTGTTTGAGCCAAAAGCATACATCCTCACCCCCTCCCGCCGACCACACAGGCATGAGGCCCCGCCACCCAACGAGCTTGGTTACCGGACTGATGTGGGTCGACTTCACGAGGTCCGACTGGTTCACCTCCATTCGCCACGAAGCCCTGCAGTCGGATGGTGGGTGGGTTTTGGGGAGGGAGCCGCCCAGCTGTGCGAGAAGAATGTGTAGACTGAGACATGTGGTGATCTTGTGGGTAAGCAAGCTTCCATCAGGCTTACGGCTGCTCCTGCGCTTCAGCACCCACCGCACCTCGCTGGCAGGGCCATACTCCACCCCAGTGCCGATTACACAACCTCTATTGCCCCGCGACCCACCCTGACGCCCCCCTACCTCTCACCTGCTCGCTCACACCTCACCCTAAACCCCGCCCTGCACCCTCAAACCAATTTCAGATCTGGGCTTCTATGGCTGGCTTGAACACGATGGGGAAAACTATGGCATCCAGCAGCTGGAGGACCGGCGCTTCAACATGACCACCTCCTTGGTATGCTGGACTCGGGTGGTCGGTGTAGCTGTGGAATCAAGTGATAGCGACGACCCATCAACGGGGGGCGACGCAAGTGGTGCATACTCTGTAGGCAGCTCCGTCATCCTCTGGTCTATGGCTAGCTTTCACGACAAATGAGGAGCCTATCACGCCCCTCACGGCTCGCCAGCGACTGCCCTGTAGCTCCTCCCCCATGCGCCACTGTCACCTCCACACACACTCCTTCGCGACCCCCATTCACCCCAGGTGAAGCGACAGTGCAAGTCCTGCGGCGCAGGCGGCGACTGGGCCCTGCGCGTGAATGCCAAGCCCGCCCAGGGCAGCATGGCCGACGGTGCCCCTCGGCCCGTGGTCTCCCTGTTCTTCTACGTGGCGGCAGAGGGCATGGAAGCCATCACCCTGGGTGCCAACGCGTGGAAGGGCGCCATTGGGCCTGACGTGGAGGAGCCCCAGCCGGTGCTGACTGGGACCAGTGCCCCCTTTGGCAAGTGAGTGTGAACACTCCAACCCTGGCGAGGTGATGCCTGCAGGCGGAGTGTACCTTTGAGGGCTTTGGAGGAGGGAAAGGGCATACCCCTGACTGAGTGTGTGCTGCCTTCCACCGGTGCAGCGCCCATTGCCTGGCAGGGACCCCTGCTCTGTCCTGGTGGCCTGCCGATCAAGTTGTTTCAACAATCCATTCCTGTCGGCCGCCCCCCTCCCTGTCATTTCCGGAAGACCGCTCCCACATCCTTCACACCCTGCACCTCCTATCCTCCCCACAAAAGGTGGGCGCTCCACGTGCGCGGCGAGGGCGCCGGCGGCTTCCCCACTGGGGTCCACTGGCTGGGCCTGCGCACGCCGTACACGGCCAACCTGACCTCGGCGGTGAAAGCCGGCCTGCGCCGCTCCCTGTTCGACCAGCGGCGGGCGGGGGCGGAGCAGTTTGTCCTGCGCCTGCCCGACGACGCCGAGCCGGGGTCAAACGTGTACGTGCTGCAGGTCCAGGCCTGGCTGCCGGCCAGCCTGGACCTGGTGTTCACCAGCGGCCGCGGCGCAGGCGAGCGCGCGCGCGTCGCGGCGCTGACCGGCGCCGCCTTCAACGCCCAGCTGGCGCGGCACAGCGCCGCCTTCAACGCGCGCCTGGCGCGGACCTTCCCCGTCGAGGAGGGTAGGGGCGGCGTGCCAACAGGTCGGTGGAGCTGCTGGGACGGGGGTCCAAGGGGGTCAGCCAGCTGGCTTGTTGGGCCATCAGATGAGCGGCGAGCGTGTGTATCCTGTGGCCCCCTTCCGCGCTGTGCACGACCCCGACCCATGCGCCGTGCAGCGGTCCCTCGTCAGCCCCTCCCATCGCGCCCGCTCCCCTCCTGATGAACACCCACTCCAGGCACACGCGTGGTGAGCAAGGCGGCGCTGAGCCAGCTGCTGGGCGGCATGGGGTACTGGTTTGGCCACTCCATCGTCTGGGTGGTGGGCAACTGGCCCCCGGTGCTGCCCAACTGGGACGCCGGGATCTTCACAGCCAGCCCCTCGCGCAGCCAGTTTCCGCGCGGCTTCCTCTGGGACGAGGGCTTCCACCAGGTAACCTGTGGGATGTTCCTCTCAAGGATTGGCTTGCCAATGTTGAGCCGACGCCGGCCCCCGGCACCTCGACAACCTAGGCTCCCCCCACTCCCCCTCTCGCCAGCTGCTCATCCGGCGCTGGAACCCGGCGCTGAGTCGCGATGTGCTGGCGCACTGGCTGGACCTCATGGCCTCCACTGGCTGGATCGCAAGGGAGCAGATTCTGGGGGATGAAGCTCGGCTCAGGTGCAAGGGCGCTGCGGGAGGGGTTTGAGAACTTGGTTGGGGAGTCATGTAGGCATGCGTGGTGGACCATGCGCTGCATGGCCCGGAGTGACATGCAGGCGACCAACCGGCTGGGGTCCCGCTGCGTCTTGCATCCCGAATCTCTAACTGGCGTATCCTGGATCCTTGCCATGTATTTACCGCCGTCCCTTCCCATTCTCACTTTCCTCCCACAGCTCCCCACCCCACCCCCCTTTCCCATACTCCAAACCATGCAGGGTTCCCAAGGAGTTTGTGCCCCAGCCAACCAAGACCGCCAACCCGCCCAGCCTCTTCCTGGTCCTGTCAGAGATGGCCGCGGGGTTGGAGTCTGGAGGCCCCGAGGCCGAGGCCGACCGCGCTTTTCTGGAGGTGGCCTGGCCGCGCCTGCTGGCCTGGTACACCTGGCTCAACACCACCCAGGTGCAGGGGCGGGGCGGGTGGGGAGGGGGCTCGGGAGGCCAAAGTTCTTGCCTAGGAGACGTGCTTCTTGCGCCGGCTTTGAAGCCTCGGCTTGTTGCAGTGGTCAATTAGCTCAGGCATCAAGGCCACAGCGCCGTTCCCCAAAACATCCAAAATCTTGTCAACACCCACCTCTGCCCCTTTTGCCAGGCCGGGCCCGTGCCCGGGTCCTTCCGCTGGCGCCAGCGGGACAACGCAACCACGACGGAGTTGAATCCCAGGACGCTGGCTTCGGGGCTGGATGACTACCCCCGCGCCTCCCACCCCTCACGTGCGCCTGGTGGGGGATGGCTTTGGGTTTTCAAGGCTGGCGTCCGCACTGTGGTAAGGGGGAAGGGTTGCATGTACTAGCCCAGGATCAGGCTACCAAAAAGAACCTCGGAATGGACATGGCAAGGGAGAGGGTTTTCACTGAATGAACCGCCACCCAAGCTGGCCGCCATGGCTGGAGCGGCCCCAGATCCTCCCCTTCCCATCTTCACCCCCTTCCACACGCATCACGCACGGCAGGGGACGAGCGGCACCTGGACCTGCGCTGCTGGATGGCGCTGTCGGCGCGCACCATGGTGCAGATCGGCACGGCTCTGGGGCTGGGCCGCGGCGGCGCCCTCGCTTCCTTGCAGGCGGACGCGGCCAGGCTGTCTGACTTCGGGGAGCTGACCGCCCTGCACTACGACGCCGCGGCCGGCCGGTTTGCGGACTGGGGCCTGCACTCTGAAGATGTGGCCCTGGCGCCCGATCCGGCGAGTGGGGAGCTGGTGCGGCAGACGGCCTCCCCGCCCCGCCTGCAGTGGGTGCCCCACCACGGGTGAGTCATGGAATTGTGTGGAAGGAATACCCTTGGCTGAGTGACTCGGCCTGGCAAAGCTGATGTCCGGCTGTGCTTGGATGCAGTGTAGAAATTGGTTTCCCAGAGTGCTCACGGCCGACTGGCGGACGCTTCGGTTCCCTTTTCACTCCTGTCACTCCAATGCATGTTTGGGCCCAGTAAACCCCTTCCTTCCCTTCCATCCCGGGGGCGCAGGTACGTCTCGCTCTTCCCCCTCATCATGCGCTTGATCCCGCCACACTCCTCCCACTTGGGGCGGGAATTGGACGCCCTCACCGACCCCGGAGGCCTGCTCTCCCCCGCGGGTATCCGGTCGCTGAGTCAGCGCAGCAGCCTGTACTCCAAGCATAACACGCAACACGATCCGCCCTACTGGCGGGGCACTGTCTGGATCAACATCAACTACCTCGTGCTGGACGTGCGTGCGCCTGTGGAGTTTGACCTTTTTTTGAAAGGGGGGGGAGGTGGACTTTTTGGTGTCGGCTCCCATGCATTCCGGGTCTGCAGGCATCCATGCGGCCAAGGCCACTCCACACAATCACATTGACGTAGCCATTGATTGTTTGAGATGTTTCGAGTGCCCACTTCCCACTCTTCGCTGAGCTTGCTGGCTGAACAGCCACATGATTGGAACTCAACACTCCTCCAGGCCCTCCCATGCGCACATAACCCTCCCAACCGCACCGCCCTTTCGCCCCCACCTCGTCTCGCAGGCGCTGCGATTCTACGCGCGGACTCCCGGTCCCTACTCACAGCACGCCGGCACAGCTGCCGCGCAGCTGCGTGCCGCCGTGTTGGACGCCGGCGTGGGCCAGTTCCGGGAGACGGGCTTCTTCTGGGAGCAGTACAACGACACCAGCTCGGCGGGACGGGGTGCCCACCCCTTCACTGGCTGGACGGCGCTGCTCACCCTCATCGCCGCCGAGGCGTGATGGGCGGGCGAAGGTCGGGCGAGGCACTGCGGGCCGGCCGGCGCCTGCCAGAGATGAGGTCTGCATGAAGCCTGTTTGCAAACCCCCTTGTTCCTCTTCATCGCTTCATACGTTGCACCCCGACAGCATGAGTTCATTTCTGTTGAAGAATCTATGGCCAGGGGGCACCCTTGCATGCACCGCGTGGATGGCTTGAGAAAGCACAGATCAGGGGCCTCGCCAGGTTGTCCCTCTTGCTGGCGACGAGGCCCCCGTTTGGGGACACATGACTTCCAAACCTGCGCTGGAACACCTTTGGGCCCCACCGTCTCATGCCAGACCGTCGGTACGTCAGGCGCTGGGCCAGAGCGTGCCCAGCGGGACACCGGCCTCGCAGCGCGAAAGGATCCGCTCGGACTCCTCGGCGATCTCGGCCTGCACCGTCTCCACGGAGCGAGCCGCGTCGACCACGACCCAGCTGGGGTCCTGCAGGGTCCCAAACGCCTGCCGCACCTGGGGACAACGGCAGGAGGGAAGGTGTGGGGTTGTTTCAGTGTATGGAAACAGGGGCTGAGAATGTGACGCTGGCAGCTGGGCACAGCAGCACGTGTTGACATTCAACCCCGCAATCGACGGGCCTGGCAACACCAGATGTTATGGAAACCCTTTTGTGAGTGGGTCTCATGCCCTGTGAGCTTGTCTGCCCGCCAATGAGGTACCCGTTTGAGCTGAGGCCATGTCCCCGCCCCCCTCATTGCAGTGTACATGCCCCAACCCCTCCCCTTGACCCCGGGCCGCCCCACTCCTCTTCCACAGTGTGCACCTTCTTCTGCAAATCTGTGGTCTCGTACCGCTCCTGGCCATACCCCCCCCTCTCGGCTGCCTGCTCCGGGCTCAGGTCCAGGAAGAAGACGGTGTCGGGGGCGGGGAGGCCCACGTCGGGTGCCCGGCACCAGGCCGTGTCCAGCCCCGGCAGCCCCTTGGCGGCCGTGAAGGCGACGCCGGAGTGAGCATACCGGTCCACGATCAGCGTGGTGCCGGAGTTGAGCCTCTCCAGCATTGCCGCCCTGCAGGGTGGTGGAGGGGGGGAAACAGAGACACAGTTGTTGGCAGTGGCGGTGGGCTGCAGAGGCCTGTGCCTTCGAACACCAAACACCAGGTGAGGGTCCTGGCATGCATGGCCCTGGCAGCAGGGGCAGTGGTGGCTGTACATTCGGACTCGTCCATGCATGCCCCACCTCCACTCTCACCGTTTCTCCCATCGATTGGCGGAGAAGAGGAGGTGCATGGCGGCATCATCAGCCTCTGACTGTTTCGTCAGGTACGAGTTGATCATGCTGCCGATGGCAGTGCTACGATCAGGGAACCTCCACAGCTCCACATTGTACTGCGGGTGGGGAGGTTGGCAGTGTTGGAGGTCATCGGGGACGGGCCTGCACGCCTGGTGCACCTTAGATACCTCACCCTGCAGTCCCTGCCCACGACAGGCATGTGCAGTGGCCACGCACCCCTAGGTGTCCTAGGTGCTGTGAGAGAAGCTCGCACTGAGTGGATTTTCCGGCGCGATCGACGCCCTCGAACACGATCAGTGCCCCTCGAGCCGGACTGCGTGTCATGGTGCTGTGTACACGCAGGTTCGCAGAGGCTCGAGCGATCAGGGAAGGGTGTCGAGCGGCCGCTGACAGGCAACGATCAAACCACATTGCTGTCGAGGGGCGCACGGTGCCAGCTGGGAGCTGCAGGCCCTGAAAATCGCCTGTTCGCTGTTTCAAGTCGGAGATTCGGGTTTGGACCCCGTCCGCGCGCCCCCGGAACGCACGTGCAGGGCGGGGAGGGGAGCAGGGCACCGCACGGTGGGCTTTAGGGGGAGAGGCCGAGCACAAGACATGGAGCCATGTAGGGACCGACGCGGCATCGTGTCCCATCCCTGCAATCTCACTTTGATGCAAGCTGTCACGCTCATCCCCGGCTGTCGCGCTGTGCCTGAGCCGTGCCGCAGCCAGCGCCGACAGGCGGGACCCCTGGCATTCACGGCTGGGCCATCACCTGTCGAACGACGTCATCGCCTGGTCTGTAAGTCTGCAGCCATTTCACACTCTGCGGTGAGTATGTGTCTGGCAACGGGGGCGTGGGTCGGAATAACGGTGGGATGTCGCTAGGGGTTTTCTTCACAGGCCCCCCCAAACCTGCCCTCACGCCCAGGTAACTACCAATGGCAAGTCCCAAGCCCTGGAACTGAGCGACTTGACCGCCATTGGCCCCCTGGACGGGCGCTACGGCAGCAAGGTCCTCCCCCTGCGTGCCATCTTCTCCGAGTATGGCCTCATCCGCTTCAGGGTGCTCGTGGAGTGCCAGTGGCTGAAGACCCTCAGCCGGCTGGAGGGTGTTCCCGAGGTCCCGCCGTGAGTGCTGCGGTACTGTTTCCACAGCCGGCTGGGCGGAGTTGGGAGTGATGTGTCTGCGAGGCCCCCTTGTCCCTATTCCTCCTCGTTGAAAGCCGCCAAGTCATGGCCGGTTCTGCCTGCTGTTCGACTCTCACGGGGCTGGCTTGCCATCACCCCAGACTCTTTCTGTATCTCCTCCTTGTCCTCATCCAATCCCATGCAACCCCGCTCACGCCCCCTCCCCAAACCCCAGGTTTAGCAGCGAGGCCGAGGCGCTGCTGGACGAGCTGTCCTCCAACTTCAGTGTGGAGGATGCCGCGGAGGTCAAGGAGGTGGAGCGCACCACCAACCACGACGTCAAGGCGGTGGAGTATGTCATCAAGCGGAGGCTGGGGAGGAACGCGGAGCTTGCCAAGGTGGGAGCAGGGAGAGGGGGGGAAGGGATGACGGGGAGTGACTCTCCCTGCGAGGCCCAGGCGCCCCGCTGCGGCGCCCTAGGTGCTGCTTGCCGTTCAAGGCCAGGCACACACCCTCTTTCTCCCCTCCCCCCCCTTTTGTAGGTGCTGGAGTTCACCCACTTTGCGTGCACCAGCGAGGACATCAACAATCTGGCGCACGCCCTCATGTTCAAGGAGGCGCTCGCCGGCGAGGTCCTGCCGGCCATGGACACCGTGATCGGAGCGATTGCAGGGTGGGCAGTTTCAGGCTGTAGAGGCTGGCATGGCCGTGGTGGATGGGATGCATGTGAGTTAGATGCTTGGGGTGCATGGCATGCCTTGGGGTGCCTATCGCCTTGCAGGACGACCTCGCGGGGACTCACCAAACACTGCGCTATGATGCCTCACGGCAGCTTTGCTGCCCTAAACTTAAATATACCCTGACCGGGCAAGCTTGCCCGCTGGAGACACCCTTCTAGCTGAGCGCATTTTGTTGTCATTGGAGATGTCCTGGTGGCGCGACACCGCCTGGGCCTGCCTTAGGACCTTGGCTCCTCTCAAGCATCTCCTGGTCTGCACTCCAGTTGACCTGTACCCTCCCATCCCACTTCCGCACTTTCCTTCAGGTTGGCCACCGAGCACGCTGGCGTGCCCATGCTGGCGCGGACCCATGGTCAAACGGCATCGCCCACCACCATGGGCAAGGAGATGGCGGTGTTTGCCTACCGCCTGGCGCGCCAGCGGCACCAGGTGGGAGGAGGTGTTGGTGCTGAACTCCGCGGTCTCGTAGGGGGCCACACAGGAGCATGTAGCCTGAGTTCAGATTGGGAAAAGGGGGCTCCATGTCACGGATATGTCTGGACCGGCCTTGTGGCATGCCCATGGATATCCCAGGGGGGCACGAATGAGTGGCTGAGTGGCTCTTGGGTGGGATGATCGTGATCTGTGCCCCATTGCGATGACAGCCATGGCTCCAAAATCCTCATCCTGCCAGCCTCTTCCCATCAACTCCTGGCCCCCTACTCTCCTCCCAGCAGCCCACTCACGCCCCTTCATTCGCGCATCCACATCGACGCAGGTGGCTGCCGTGCCCCTCTTTGGCAAGTTTGGCGGGGCAGTGGGCAACTACAATGCCCACCTGTCCGCCTACCCGGACCTGGACTGGCAGGCGATTGCAGAGGAGTTTGTGACCGGCCTGGGCCTCGAGTGGAACCCCTATGTCACCCAGATCGAGCCCCACGACTACATTGCGGGTTAGTTGTTTCGCTGAAGGGATGGGGTCTGGCATCGGGAGGGCCTGGTGGACTGTTGGTGAATGCGCAGGCAAAATGTGGCTGCGCACGGCCGCCGGCTGGCACACTCACGGGCGCTGCATGCCGGATGGTGGCTGCTTGCACCCCGCCTGGGTTCCTACCAGTCCCAAACTCCTGCCGTCCTGTCTGCAACCCCTCCATGTCTGTCTATTCCGCCCCC